AGGAAGTCGAAAAGGCAAGGATAAGCCGAAAAGGAAGGGAAAGAGGAAGGGAACAGAGGTAGAGGAACCTGCAACTGAAGAGCCAAATCAAGCTCTGACTGTACCCGCTCTTGTAACAACTTCTGAGTCTTTTGAAGCTGTTGCCTCAACAACACCTGGAATTGAAGAAGAAGTAGATGAGGGGAAACCTGGTGCCGATGAGCAGCAAGATAAACCCAAGCGTAAAGGCAAGAAGGGTGAGAAAAAGAGAAAAGGAAAGGACAAGAATAGAGCAAAGGATAAAGGAAGTCGAAAAGGCAAGGATAAGCCAAAAAGGAAGGGAAAGAAGAAGGGAACAGAAGTCGAGGAACCTGCAACTGAAGAGCCAAATCAAGCTCTGACTGTACCTGCTCTTGTAACAACTGCCGAGCCTGTTAAAGCTGTTGCCTCAACCACACCTGGAATGGAAGAAGAAGTGGATCAAGGGAAACCTGGAGCTGATGAGCAGCAAGATAAACCCAAGCGTAAAGGCAAGAAGAAGAGAAAAGGAAAGGACAAGAATAGAGCAAAGGATAAGGGAGGACAAAAAGGAAAGGATAAGCCAAAACGGAAGGGAAAGAAGAAGGGAACAGAGGTAGAGGAACCTGCAACTGAAGAGCCAAATCAAGCTGTGACTGTACCCGCTCTTGTAACAACTGCTGAGCCTGTTGAAGCTGTTGTCATTACCTCACCAGTGGGAAGTGAAGTAGCCAGGAAACCAGCTGATGATGAGGGAATTGGAATTCCAGCTTTAGGCAAGGACAAGGGCCAAGACAAAGCCAAAGACCAACTACCCAAGACCCTGGCTACCATCATTGACACTGTCGAGATCTCCTCCTTCAAGCCTGGCTACAACCCAGCCAGCGGCGACGGCTCCTGGGTGGCAGCCACCGAGGACGACAACCAGTTTTTGGACATGACCTTTGAGGATCCCGTGGATATCAGTGACCTGACCATTGCCCCGGTGCTGACCGATGAGGGGGAGGCAATAGTGACGGCCCTGGAATTGCTGTACCAGCAGGATGGATCTGGAGAATTTCTTCCAGTCTCCATGCCTGATGGTAGAAAGGTAGGGCTAATTTTCTTATAGGGTTACCACACATACTGAAGAGGTTGTGGACTCTTGATTTGGACGTATTTTTATGGAAGTTGAGTCTGAACTCTTTAGGACCCCTGCAGAGTGATTTGTGAACAGTACTGACATGCGCAGGATAGCAGTTTCATTTGAATCAGCACAAAACTGAGGCTTACAGTGTACCTACTTAGTGATGGTTATGTGAGGAATGCTCACATTGCAATGAAGGGATTGAATATAGAATGAAGAACAATTGCCTTTGAAAGTTCAGATCACCAGTACAGTTCTTTATGTTAATTTTTTTCTTGATACAAAGCTGTTTTCATTTGTGCATGTTGCTACCCCTCCATAGGTTTGGGAACATATTGCTGTGGTTAAAGTTCTCGATTTACATTATTTCCCCTGATATTTTATTTTTATTGTGTTTCATGCAGTATACACAACAGTATAAGACATTAGTCGTGGTAAAATAGTTCTCATTACTGCACTCCAAAATTAATTAATGTGTACGGTAATTATTAAAGAGTCAAATTTCAAAAGGATCAGCCATAAACATGTATTGGGAACACAGAATAATAAGTGGGGGGGTGTGCTTATCCCCATTCCATTCTCCTGGTTTGCCTGGTGATCAACGTAATAAATGTAGTTCTCCTAAAGAAGGTATTTTACCCCCTGCACCCAGGAATGCATGCAGTTCCCTCAAAGAAGGTACATGTATTTTACCCCCTGCACCCCTTGACAGACCCTATTTAGGCTGGAGCAGTGTACTGAGATGTGAATATGTCTTTCGTAAGGCACATTTAACAGAGTGACAGACCAACTGCTCCCAAAAAGTTACGTCACCTGTAGTGGGTATCAAACATACAAACATTGCATCCTCCCATTGAAAACTGTGTCATATACATATCAAATGACAGATGACAGATGGTTACCATACTGAAAATCAGCTTTATTTTTAGTAAACAACTCTTAAAATACACGTTGCTGTGGGGGGACGCCATGTTTGTTGAGGTTTGGTGCCCACTATAGGTCACGTGACTCAGCAGGCGCAATCCCGCTATTAATTAAACAAATCATTGTAGCCCATTTCCTTTTATGTCCACTTCCCATCAAAAACAACAGATTTTCACATTGGACGATGCTGAAGAAGGACCAAATGGGAAATTGATTTTCAAGCTGCCATTCACTATTCGGACGCAGAGGATACGCCTCCTGCCTCGGAAGTGGAAGGGCCAAATTGGCATGAAGATTGTCGTTTTGGGACAAGAAACTGAACGTAAGAGTTTTCAAATTTGATATTTCCTACATGTAGTTACTGGCAGATATGAGCTGGTTTGGAAGTGCCACAAAATGGCAGCAGTTTTTGTCATATGTCGTGTTAATTTTGGGCTTTTTTTGGTCAATTTTGCAGTCTTTAAATACAGAAAGTATCCTAAAAAAAACCCAGATTTTGTGGAACTTCCTAAAATGAATGTACAGTGAGACAACAAAGAAAATGTTTTCTTGAATACAAAAGGCTTGCTGGTTATAATAGTGTGTACATTTGGCTGATTGGCACCAATTTTGTGGAATTACTCAGAAGGCAAATTTGTTAACACAATATCTTCACGTATTTGTTTAGCAGAAACATGTCATGCATTTGAGTTCTACTGAACATGCAAATTTGCTGAGCAACAGGTTCTGAATGTCACCAAGCACGTCAAGCAAGCAAGTCTTGCATGTGCCATTTTGCCACTTGGGAGTTGCAAAGTAATGCTGAGTCACTAAAAACCCCATTAAATATTCAAATATTCGGCCATTCATTAATCAAATTCCCAAAGAAGCAGAAACGAAATATGCATGTTTTACAAAACGTTAAAAGAAAACTCTTAGGAAAGTAAGTTTTGGGCCTCACTGTTAGACATATGCCTTCTACAACCTAAAGTTTACTCACAGCACTTCGAAATGTGCTTTTAGTATGTAATGTTGTATAAAAGTAATCAATTTTTCCCCCTTTCTCTATCATGGAATGTCAATTCGAATATTCAATTTTGAAAATAAATATTCACATATGTTATAATGTATTGAATATTTGAATAATTACAATAATGCACAACCCTATCACAAAGACTCATTGTTGCCTTCAGAGCACCAGCTCAGAGCTAAAGATGTGAGTTTGTACAATTAGTGCTAGTCCTGCGCATTACCTGCTGATTTCTCCTCACCTTCACAGCCCGAACATTCACCCTCGGGAACTTTATCTCAAACATCCGCTCATCTTCCTATGTCCCCGGTTACAATCCGACATCGGGCAAGGGGGCGTGGCTGGCAGCCATCAGCGACAAGAAGCAGTTCCTGCAGGTTACCTTCGACTCCCCGAAGGAGATCAAGAAGGTCCAGGTGACTCCTCTCCCGCTGGAAAAAGGGAAGGTTGCCATGGTGACGAAGTTCAAGATTTTCTACAGGTCCCCAAAGGAAACTGAACTTACTCTGTATAAGTTCCCTAGTGGCAAGGATGTGAGTATTAAATTAAATACTGATATTTCATAGGCATCCGGCCTGCTTCGTGGAATTTTTGATTCTAGGGTATACAGTCATGTACTTTAGCACGGAAAAAATGGGGGGAGGAGAATAAAATGGCTTGCCTTCAACATATGCCACATTCACAGGGTCGCAGAAAATCCTTCTAAATCCTGGAAGAAGTTGTCCCCGACAGGCAGGAAAAGGCATTGAAAATTGGGAAAGGGTAAGGTGTCCTGGAATCCTGTTGTCAGAGGAAAAATTTCCTGGAAAAGTCACGGAAACCAAAATCATACCAGGGTTATTTCTTGATGGGCCGCTTTTGATGTGATAGCAGAATAACAAGGAGTTTACAGGCTATCCTTGTCAGTCTACAGGTTGACCCCAAAAAAGGCAGCCCAAAAGGAGCATTCATTTTCTCCCAAAATAATTGTCAGAAACAGTTGTGAGTCCCAGCAAGATCACACACCATCAAATGCGATAAAAGAAGAAACTTTACGGAAAAGTAATTTTGGGCCTTATCATTGGGCATGTGTATCATTTGCTATTATGTTTACTCGTAACACCTCGTACCCATTTTTTTAAAATTAAAATTTCATTGACTTTCAAAAATATATATTCCAATGTTCAATAACCAATCAATTATCTAATTACATGTATTCCAATTACTGGCACAGCTCAATGGTTATATTGGGAATTCCTTCCTTTTCACAAGTTTGGCTCAAATTTGTTAGTCCTGCCTGACCGTGTTTGAATTTTGTCTTGTAGGTGTTCAATGTGAAAGATGCCAGAGGGAGCAAAGAAGGTGTCCAAACATTCAAGCTACGCCAGCCAATCATAGCCAAGGACCTGCGCATAGTCCCCCTGGAGTGGAGGAACCGGATTGGATTCACGCTGAACCTGATTGGGAGGAAACCAAGTAAGTGGATCTGATGCCTTTATATGTACACTTAACATTGGATTTTCTTACCAGAAAAAGGCTGCAGGGAACATTTTCGTTCACCCACAAATTCTGTAACCTTGCAATTTGCTTTGACCCAACCAAGCACGACGCATTAATATGTCATCTGCTGAAATCCCCAAAGAATTCTTAAACAAGTATACACATCCTCTGTGGAACAAATAGGGAAACTTGTACATGTTTGAGAGTTTTTTTTTTATTTTCACCAGAAAATTCTTTGGGTTTGGATTTACTTTCAAGAAGTCAGTGTTGAACTTTATTATTGTGTAATTTTTAATTCATATATTTATTGGGGGCATGGATTTTGGAAATTGCAAGAAAATAGGACAGTGTTTGGAGTTTAATACTAAAAAAATTAAACTTTTATAAAATTTTCAGGATATATTTCGAGCATTTAAAAAAGTGCAGGCACTGAAATTCTGAAATCATCTCACAAAATGATGACAAAAATTACGTTCGAATTACAAGATAAGCGAAGATGTCAGAAGATGGGAAAAATTGCCCACATGGCTGGGTAGCATTTGGTGGAGCACTGGTACGGTATTCTGGAAATAATAGGTTCGAATTCCACTCCAGCCAATTTATTTGTTAGCGTTTGCATATGCGTGGACACCTTGACTTTACCCCAAACTCATTTGTGGTATTCTCTGCAGGGGAGACACCACAAAGAGATGAAGGAAAACCACAAAAAGACAAAGGTGAGGGTTGTGGCAGGTAGGGCACTGAGCATACTTGCTGCCAACAGATTTCTCTTGAAGTGACTATTGTACAACTCCAAAAAGTGCATACCGCCATCTTACCGTGCTAAATGCAGAGATGATCATTGGCTTGTATGCCACTGTAACTGGTTAGTTATTAACAGTAGTAGCCTCCATTGTGTTAGCATTGTGATTAACATTGTAAGATGGCCCCCCAGTGGCTTCTGTGGCCTCTGTGTGCTGATTCTGGGAATTGCAACACTGCGCAAAATGATGCTTTGCCCTGAATGGGTTTTCCAGTTTGGGGTGAACTGGTATGGAATACAAAATTAATGCAAAATGGTGTACCAAAATGTTGTTTGTTATTTATGAAGAACAATCAATCTTTTTTATTTTCACTAATTTTAAATGTGATGACATAGCCCACTACTTGTGAGCTTTAAGTTGTATGGCACTGGAAAATCTATGTACATTTACATTGAATGTATTTCCATTATGGGCCAGTTATTTAAGTTTGTAATATATATTTTTATGCGTGTGCACGTGCTAAAAAGCTGTTCAAATTGTGGCTTCAGGATTTGAAAATTTAAAATGGCAAGAGTACACAATGTTGGCGGCAGATGTAAAATTTGTTTTATCAAGAATGAAACTTCATTAGGAGTTGCAGGCCAGTGCTTTTGTTCCACAGGGTAGGCACAAGGAATGTTTCTATGTGGAACAAAACAACTACCCTTCAAGATGGCTATCACGCAGAGCCTCTTTAGAAAATAACGGAATAAATGGAACTTATAATTATGCTTCAAGCCTGTGGTTAAGTTCACTGGTTTTTACAGAATTGCTCTGTGAGTGTGAGTGATAATGCTACAAATGGGTGTTGTGGCTACAAAGGCAGTCAAAAGAAGGCCTAAAATTGAGTCGTCTTCTTCCTCCCTGTAGGGAAACCCAAGAAGGCCCCAAGACGCCTGAGCCCTGTGCGCCTGACCTTTGCGCCGTCCAGCATTTACAAGGACTACAACCCCACAACATCCAGCACCAGCCTGTGGGTGCCTGACCCCAAGGACCTCGACCCCTTTCTGATGGTGACCTTTGACCAGGAGGTCATCCTGACCTCCATCCAGGCGCGGGGCAAGAAGATCCCGAAGCTGGGAGGCGAGGGATGGATCAAAGAGTTCCGGCTGCAGCTCATGGGTGGCGGTGACGACGAATCCTGGGGTGACTACACCTTAGAGGACGGCTCCAATGTAAGTGTATGCCCTTCCGTTGCACAGTTGTGAAGTGATGGGGCCTTATTTTCCGGAGCATGGAACCCAATGCCTGTGGTATTCTAGAGATTGTAGTCTGGCCATTTCTTTACCAGAGTCTTCCCTGAATAGCTGCCCGATATGCAGATGCTTGGGTATTAAATGTGTTCCAGTAATCAGAGAAGACAAGGCCGTCAAGTAGCTAAATACTCTTTGTGCATGATGCTGTTTGGCCACGTCAGAAGCCAGAGTAAAGGGTAAATTGCATGTGTTCACTGGTTTGCAACGGAATGTGCACAGACTCATGGCATTTTCATGAAAGCAGAGTGTACTTGGTGATTTGAACATTGGCAGTGACTGTCAAATGCTTTTTACGGCAATGAAGATTCATCGTTCTACCACTTAGGGTGCAGTCGCGCACCAATAAGGGCAGATCCATAACAATATTTTTGGGGGTTGGGAACGAATTCTTGAGAGGCCACAAATTTTTTAGGGAATTTGTTTATGTATCCTTTAATGGCCTCTCTGAAGGTTGAGGGAAAATTTGGGGGGCTTCTAACATGCTTTTGGAAGGAACAGAAATGAAGTGGTCTGAGGAAAATTGCCTTTCTCGCAATGTTTTGTAAAAACTAAAATTTTGCCCCAAGGAGGGGGGGCATGTTCCCCTTTGGGATCCTTCCTCCATTAGATTCACCCTTGCTCACTGATTGCATTAATTATGTATGCATATCATTTACTGTATAAACAATTTTGCCTCATATTGTCATATTGAACACAGACCTGTATGAGTACTTTATTAATTTACCAGTTTTTTTTCCTTGATGCTTCAGATATTAGCCTTCGACCCGGTTGTGGACAGAGCCTATAAGAAGACAAGTTTCAACTTTCCCGAGGACGTTAATGTCTCCCAACTGAAGTTCTATCCGGTGTCGTGGGAGAAATTTGCAGCAATCAGAATGCAGCTGTGGGGCTACTACAAGGAGAGTAAGTATCGCCTGGATGTATCGCCTCGAGTTGTCATTTGCTGGATGGTTGTTGTGTGCTATCCTCTGTTGTGTAGTCTTGAAACAGTTTTCTGTTTGTCGTAATTTGTCTGTGTTGCCGTGCACGTTCTTGTTCTTGTCTTGTCCCATCTCATCCCTTTTTGTCTTGTAGCAAGCGCAGGCCACTGTTGCCCAGCTTGTGCAATACATTTGCCATGTCTCATTGTCTTCACTTGCTATGTTCTCAACTTGTCTCACTCTTGGCATTTTATCTGGTTGCTTGGCTAAGGTAATACAATATCTCCTCTAACCTTGCTTTGTTTTGTCTCATGTTGTACAATGTAATTCCTTAACATCTTATCTCGTTTTTGGGTTTTGTGATTATTATTTTCCAATTGTAGAGAGAAGAAAACCCAAAGGAGGGCGTCGTTTGACTCTGTATTACCTTCTCTGGAAGACCGATGCATCGTGGGAAGATGCCCAAGCATACTGCAGCAAAGACAATGGCCAACTTGCCAAAATCACTGATGCTAGTGTCCAGGATACAATTGTCCAGAGCATTATTAAGAGCGGCTTCAAAGGTGAGGGAAATGTTATCACAACAAAGTCACAGTGCATCTCAGTCAGCAATTTTCTCACCGACTCTGACTAAACTCTGAGACACATTGGGTGTAGCCTCAGATTCACACTGGTGCGCTTGGAGGTTATGGCCACTTGTTCAGCAGCAATAAACACAAGCAGCTAGGGAATAGGGATTTCTCGTAGATGGTCCAGTTAAAGTGAGCGGCTCAACCATAAAAGTTTTTCTTTTTCAAATGCACAGGAACAGCACTTAGGCTCAGTATGGGTTGCACTTTTGGGGGAGGGGTTAGATAACTGTTGGGTACTGATATTTGTGTCCGTGACCATTAAAAAGCTGAAGTGACTAGAAGATATTGTTAATGGAGCAGTAGATATGGAGCTAATATTATTAAACACTATTTTTGAATGTAGAACCGTACGAAGCCAAATGATATAATTTCTTCCTTACGTGCAGCTGACTGGTGGATTGGTGTAACTGACAAAAAACTGGAGGGCACCTGGCTGTGCAGTGACGATACCTCTCTGGACTACACAAACTGGATAGGGGGTGAGAAACCAGACCTGGATGAAAGCAAGAACTGTGCCTTCCTGCAGTAAGTATTCCAAAGTGTTTCTTTTAGATAGGGTGCCTGTATTCTTTTTTCACCAAGTTGTTAGAATAAAAAATTCTCCCCATGGCTTTTTTGGTTCCCACAATGTCCATATTTCAAACTGAATCAGCTGTCAATAACCAGCAGTGTGACCTGGTTCCAAAAGTCGACAAGATGGTCCATGCGATCCATCGTTTGAGTGATGTTGGTAAAAATATAGTTAACTGTAGTTGGCCACAGAACAGCCCGTGAGGGTTTCCTTCTTTCTGTAACAATCACAATGGTGTCTATTCTGGAAACTTGAATGCTTTGCGGCAACACTGCTGTCTGTGCAGCATATGTCACACACTCTAGGGGATTTCCTGGTGCGAGAAATCTTTGTTCATTTGCATGTGGTGACCTTGCCAGGTTGTAGTGATCTTTTCTCACTGATCTCCTTACAGCACCACTGTAAACAAACTCCATAGTTTTGGCTCCCAGGCTCAGACTTTAGTCAGGATGTACATGTAATTACTGACTCGTTCAGGATAAATAAGTGTAAAGGCTGAAATCCTTAGTAAATGCAAGGTGTTGCTATAGAAATGCCTCAGTTTATGGCGCACTATTATTTCATAACTTCAAAGTTTGGGGAAATGGCTGGAGGGACGATCTCAAGGCCTTGGACTTGAGAGCAGGCTTTGCCACACATCCTCAGGAACACCTACATGTACAGCCAGGGCAATTACATGCGTTCCTTTGTACGTGTTTTGATTGTGTGAAGCCACTGTACCCAAAATGCTTGAGCAAGCTTAGAGTTAATTATATTTCGGATCTATGTCTTTGTGGGTGTACACCTATATCTCAAGGGCCTAGTATTAAAAATGAAGTCATAAATCCGCTCTTAGTGGAACAAAAGAGGGCATGATTTTTGGTACTGACCGCATAGGCGCGCCATGAGGCGTGCAACTATGTGCGCGTTTGCCGTGGAGCTCGCTGAGTGCGCGGAACTAATTTATTCCAGCATGTATGGTCTTTGTGTACATGCAGAATGGGTGCAAGAACCAGCATGTAATCACTTGTCTTTCTTTTTGCCGATTGGGGGTGCACTTCACCTCCGGGTGGGTTGCCAACCTGGGTTTTGGTTTCCTATTGCAGGGTTAAAGTCAGTATCAGTGTCAAGCAGTGTTGTATTCGAGTCCATCACAAGTCCTCTCACGTGTTCCTTCTCATTAAGTCCAGTCACAAGTCCCTTCACAAGGCCATTCATAAGTAACATGGTGACCACTGACGAAAGAATTTTTTTTCCAGTTCATTTGAATAGCTTGTGAATTGGCTTAAGATTGAATGACTTGTGATGGACTTGAGTACCGGTGTCAAGGTCTAAATTTTGGTGTCAGTCTTGGTCACTCATACTTTGTTCTTGACCTATCTACTTCTGGGTGAAACAGCAATATGAATAAATCTTCGAAGAGAGAAACAAGTGGAATTGTCAACTGCTGCCTCTTAATTTCATTGGGGGATTAACATCAACTCCTTTTACTCCCTAGGGTAGGCCGTTGCACCCGTGCACTTGTTATGTACATGCGATTAATGCAGAGTAATTGGCATACACAGAAGGCCCCACCAGGCACTAGGTCGTCAGCCCAGCATTGGTCTGACCTCTCTCTCTGTCACATGTAATCATAGGCATCATAAGGAAGCAAGCGATGGAGGCACTTGTCCCCTCCTGTTCCCATCCCGTCCCAGTGGGAAAAAAAGCTCAACAAATTTTATTGGTTACTTGTACAGTTTCTTGTAAGTTAAAAGCTGTGGTTTTCCAGTGCTCTTGAAAGCTCCATCTGTCATACAAATGATATTTTCAAATTGAAGTCACCAGACTTTGTTAAAAATGGTTTGGCTAACATTGCTCCGTTTTTAGTCAAATACGCAATGTGCTTCAATTCAGACAGTCACACATCATTATTTTCCTCAAATCATACATGTAGTTGTTTATGCCGTCAGTTTAAACCACCACACATATTCATTTCAGCCTGTTGACTCTATCAGCTAGACAATTAAGCTATCTATTTTAGTTCACCACTTAGAATAATTAGCATAAAATGAATATGATAACAATGCACACCTGTGTGACATTTATGTTGTCTTGTTTACAGTGTTTTTATACAACCATTCGAAACAAGTAAAAAGTGATACACTGTCCAAGACATATAAAGTGTTACCATTCCTCATACATATTCATAATCGAGAGCTGAACCCTTACTGGTGTGTACATCATCGCAGGCCACTCGTTATTTTTGCCAAGCTGTTCAGTGTAACTGTTGCCTTGGTGAAGTATGTATGCGCGAGCATCACCCAAGCTATGCAACATGCACACTACACATTATAGATGGTGGCACACATACTGTATGTGTAGCTCTCCCTTCGCTCCTGAACTTTTAATGGTAACAGAATAGGTCTGAGGTATGGTTAAAGCAAATATATCATGGCTTATTTGGGGTGGATGTGAAGCAAACTGCTGGTCATTTGTCAACTTCCAAATACAAAGGGGAGCTACCGGTATTTTTGACTGTCCACCCTCCAATCATGCTTCCAGGTTTATTTGTAGAATAATGACATTAATCAATTCTACAATAACTGCACAGTACACTTTGACTTGATTTTTAGTTATCTGGGAGTTGTGTTATCAACAGTGCTTTGTCAATGACAGGGTACAAACTCAGTTACTTTACAACATTGAACTATGTTTCCTTGGTTAAACAACAGGTGAAAATGTCTGTGCTTGAAATTAATCCTGTAAAATTGGGCACACTGGTGAGCTGTGAGTTTACACTTCCATTGTTAACATCTACGGTTAACCTGTTAGAGTTCACATGTACAGGTTGACAAAGTTAATACCCATTTATTAGCCTACTTTGCATACTCAACTTCCTTTTCATCAGACGATTTTTCCTCTCTATGTGCTGTTTTAAATGGTCAAACAAGGTTGCAATTGCGTCAAATTTGTCTCACAATTTACATGACATGTTGTAAGGGTCAGTTATCTGAAGTTTCATTTCATTTCCAGGCATTATTTGGTCAAACTGAAAAAAATAGTACATGTAAGGTGCCAAATATAGGGGTGCAGTTCTACAAATCGATATACTTTCATGTATCTACTTATTTTTGTGTTAATTAATACATCAAAGTGAATATTCACTATCACTGATAACACTGAGCAGCATTTGTAAGTATGTGAAGAGTTCTTTTTGTAGGTTTCTTGATGGCACTTACAAAAAACTCAAAAGCTTTTTCTACTGTGATTTCTTTTTGACACTGCTAATATTGAGGAATACAATAGCAAAGCCGCCTCTAACACCAGAATTATATTTGAGTCAGTCACAAGTCGATTGCACCAAAACACAAGTTTGAAGGATGAATATTTGTACTTACTGAATGTCGTTGTACCTGTAGCAGTCCACAAAAAGACTCTGATGGTAAACAGTCAGGTTTTGTCAACCTGGGAAATTCACACTACAGTTCCCTCTTCTACCCAAATCTTTCTGTTTTTTTTTTAACCTTGACATAGCAGCCTAACCCTTTGGAGGCTACAGATAAAAACTTCCACGAAAGCCATATTTTGTGTCGAGTCAGTTTTGTTTTGTCTTTATATTGTCAAAAGAAGATCTCAAAGATGTGATTGCCTCATCAAACACCAACCACCAAAAATTTCTACAGGTCAAGGCTGTAGCAGTTCTCAATGTGCCTCACATCTTGAGCGGCTGCTTTCTGAAGAGTAATGTTGTTTAGCTGGCACATCATCCTGCCCTGGCCTTGGACCAGCAGATTGAAGGAGTTGCATCTGGGATGGGAGAGGCAGGCCTTGCCACAAGACACCATGCCCTGAGCCTGTATTTCCATCATAACATGACCAGTGAGGCACTGTGAGACGATGTGACCATCTGAGCCAATCTGAAGGCAGAACAGCGGGTGATAGTTGTTGATGGGGAGCTCACAGGTTGCATATTTTGGATTAGGACAATTCTGATTGCCCCACTTGCCATCATTCCAATCGACCATCAGTGCACAGTCGGCTCCAGTCGTGCGATTGTCAGGCTTTCCTTCAAGCCAGTTTTGGTATGCATTGGTTTCGTCACCTCTAAGAGGGCAATGCTGCCAAACACCCTCCTGATGGATGTCATTGCACCGAATCCAGGCTCCATCTTCAGGACCATCAGGCTCAAGCTCCCGCAGGAGCAGCTCCCACACAAAAGCCTGTTCTTCTGCTAAGTTCGGAACTGTAAGGTCTGCATGAAACATAGAACAAAATTGCCTGGCATTTTGCCACTCCCATTTTTCTTTGATCACAAAGTAGCAGGCCTTGTCATATCGATGCCAACCAACAGGGCAAAAAGTCGCCACACTCACTTCAAATCCAGCTAGCAGAAGTAGAATGCCTAACACTGCCATTTGTCTTTGACCTTTTTTGTTAATAATACTTTCAATTAACGCTGCTAGAATTTCTTATTGCAATTTCAGCAGTTTGAGTAACGACACATGTAGTGTCAACTGGTAACTAACAGCATTTAAGGGCAGAGATGTAAAGGCTGTGTTTAATATCTCCATAGGCTGAAGTACACAATAAATGACCTCATAGATACTCTTTAATATCACATGAATTGTTTCCCTGACAACTCTGCTTCTCTAAGTGTCAATTGTATAAATAATTGATTAGAGCTTTTAAAATTATCCTCACACAGAAAGGCACATACATTATACTACTGCCATGTTTTGCTTGCATTGAAGATGCAAGCAGTGGACCATTGCCCTTGTAAGAGATGGTGATGACAGACATTATGGAAACAATTAATCAGGGAATAACAACATACATGTAGCTCTTTGGTTGCTCTTTGCTTTCACATCTAAGCTCAGCATCTATGTAGCTAAGAGGGCCAGAAGAGGTGAAGAAAAAATACATGGGAGCTATTTTTTGATGCTAATGCTAACCTGGTCATTGTGAATTGTTGATGCTTCCAGGCTATAACCTGTTGTACAGCCCTTTCCTTTGCTATGATGTTGATAGTTGAGGAGTTGAAGATTAGACAGGTGATGTTGCCGAATGGGAAAGATGACTGATGAGTAGCAGAAGCTAGCATAATTCTTCAAACCTCTGTCCTTGGTGTCACTAATATGTCCTCTTGGATGCATATTTTGATTCTCAAAAATAGAAGTTTGCATGATAATTTTAGCCAGTCAGACATAGTCAAAATGAGGATAATTGCACAGTAAGCAACAGGATGGTAGGAACATACATGTTTGGGCATCTGTTCCTCTGTGAACTGTCATTAAAGTTGCCTGGCTCAGTTTACAGATCGACTCTGTAGCAGTTCGCAACTTGCTTCAGATCTTGAGTGGTTGCATTCTGAAGAGTTATTCAGCTGGCACACCATCCTGCCCTGACCTTGGCCCAGCAGATTGTAGGAGTTGCATCTGGGATGGGAGAGGCAGGCCTTGCCACAAGACACCATGCCCTGAGCCTGTATTTCCATCATAACATGACCAGTGAGGCACTGTGAGACGATGTGAGCATCTGAGCCAATCTGAAGGCAGAACAGCGGGTGATAGTTGATGACGGGGAGCTCACAGGTTGCATATCTTGAAAGAGTACAAAGCTGATTATCCCACTTGCCATCATTCCAATCACCAACCAATGCACAATCAGCTCCCGGGTGCCTATTATCAGGCTTTGTTTCATCCCAATTCTGGTAGGCATTTGTTCCATCTCCTCTCAGAGGGCAGTGCTGCCACACACCCTCCTGTTGGATGTCATCACAACCGATCCAAGCTCCATTCACTGGGCCATTGGGATAAAACTCCCAGAGGAGTAATTCCCACAGAAAAGTCTGCTCCTCTGATGAGTTTGGAACTGCAAGGCTTGCTTGAAAAGTGGCACGGATGTCTGTTGCTCTGTACCAGTTCATTTCCTCTCTGATCACATAGTAGCAAGCCATGCCATATCGATGCCAGCCCAAATGGCAGATAGTTGCCATGGTGGCTTCAAGTCCCACTGTGAGAAGGAGAACACTCGATATTCCCATGTTGTGCTTAATCATTTGGAAAAACATTTTGTGTAGGTGTGCAAGAAAGTGCAATTTTCTTTAACCACTAACTACAAATTAGCTCATTGTTCATTTAAATTGGAAAAGATACATTACATGTACCTCTACCATACTAATTTTCTCAGGCAGGAAGTTTGTGGTTTCGCGTGTAAAACATTGCTTTACCACACAATTGCTAAAGAACCAGTATTTAAATTGCATTTGGCCCATGAAAAGAACGACGTCTGAAACCAAGTCTTTCTGTTGTTCCGAGTGCCTTCCCGTGTCAATCTTTTGCCTGCTAGCACACCTCGTTGCTCCTAATTGTTTTAGACATCGAACTGTTGTCGTAATACATTTGCAATTCAAATTTGCTTTTAATTTGGTTTGCGCGACTCTACAACGCCTGTTTGAAATGGGTGTGACTTGAGCAGCATATGAAATTAGCATATTCATATTTTTGTCTGTCGTGCTTCCTGTAATCTGCTGAAAAGACAGGTCGTGAAGACTCTCGTTTCAGATTTTTGAAGATGAATGTAATTAAGAAAACTTGACATAGATGAAGAACACAGAAAACTTCATCTTACTGTCTTTGTTTCATGGAATTAAATGACAGTTAAAATTTGGTTGGGCAGAGTCAAGGTACAGTACATGTCGACTCATCACAACCATTGGGCTTCTTGTCACAGAATATTTGAAATATTAAGGATTTCTTTTGACTTTGAAAATTGTTTGCAAGACACTAGGAGAGCTAATCATTGTCAATCTAACATCATCCTTTTTAGTTTTATATTTTGCTGCCTGATTAGACACAAGTACATGTACATGTACGTATACCATGGTACCTGTATGTATGGACTTGAAAATAGCATAATTTGAGACAAGATCTTTAAAACCTGCTTCAAAAAATTGAACAAATGATGGTGTTTCTTTGCACGTCGCCAAAAACTGTATTTCAGGATGAACTTTACATGCATGTAGATCACAATTTTGGAAACAGAATTCTGAGCAACTGTGCTTTTCAATTTACATCTGTGTGTTAATGGCCTCATTGAATTCAGGTTCAGTGTCTCTAGCTTTAATTTGCAAGGTTTTATGTACAGATACCGGTAAAGCTGCCAGACGTACAGTGTTTTGCAAATGTTGCCATCAACTCTCAGTTATCATTCTAACGAGTTTCAAATACACGTATAGAGGTCTGGAAACATGCATGTTGTACCGGTACAACATACAGTTCAGAGAACCTTAACAGCCCTGTTTTCAGTCTGTTGAATGTGATAGATGTATTCAAATTAAAATCCTGATGACATTTGTGTAATTGTAAAAATAGTAACCACATGCATACATTAAATTTGATAGAGTGCAATACAATTTCTTATGTGAATAATGCAATACAAAAAAGAGAGATGTTATCAATGGAAATGATTTGTGTTGGACACAAATTGATACAAAGAGATTTTTTCCATTTCACACAAAAGTTGACATAATGATAAAGTCATGCCATATTCAGAATTGTTGCTAAACAGCTATAGTATCTGACGACCTGTCAGCTTTACGGTATAGTGCATTGCAGTTGAAAGTTAACCTAAGAATGAAAATTTCTTTTCACATTTCTTCTCTGGGAACTCATTTTCATTTCATAGAATGTCAAAACAGTTTCTAAAATGGGAAAACAATATCACACCTTTTTGCAAAGTGAGAAAACATTTCTCGCTTTTTCACACAACGGATTCTTTCACATAATTTCCTGTTTTTTCCCACAGTGTTAACTTTCATTTCAAATGTACTGTATAGTAACATAGGATGTCAATGTCAGCTTCATAGTCAAAATATATATATGGTGCCAGTTCCAGAGCATGTTAAAGCAAGTGCATATACATGTACTCACAGACTGTGAAAATTACTTCTCTTCTAAATCAGATATGATAAAAGAGGTTTGTCACATCAAAGTGACATTCGGTTTAAGTCTTGGAACTCATGATAAAAGAGGTTTGTCACATCAAAGTGACATTAGGTTTAAGCCTTGGAAACACAGCTTTTCATTTTACTCCACTGCCTCTGAACTGTGCTTGTTGAGCCTTGAGATTTCAGCTGTGCTTCTCTGCATACCAAAAAAGTGTCGTGTGTTGGTTCCCTGTGACTTATGGTTGTTCCACTGGAAAATGTCCATAATTAGATCACCTTCCAAACCATTAACCACAAATGGTTTATTTGGAGAACCAGAACTGGGCAGTTGATCTACATGTACATGTATTTGTCTCATGTCTTCTGAACTGGTTGTTCTGATTGTGATGAAAGTTGTTAGGAGTCCAAGATGAGGCAGCGATATTGCAGCCAAGAAGATGGGTGAGATTCATTTCCTATGTCTTAAAACTTTTAAGATTAAAAATTCATTTTGGAAAAAAGCATCAGATCTTGTTTGATACATGTAGGTTGAATCAGATCGATTTACTGGGCTAGAGTATGGATGACCAATTCTGGTAAGCATTTGTCCCGTCACCTCTCAGAGGGCAATGCTGCCACACACCCTCCTGTTGGATGTCATCACAACCAATCCAAGCTCCATTCACTGGGCCATTGGGATAAAACTCCCGGAGAGGTAGTCCCCACAGAAAAGCCTGTTCTTCTAATGAGTTAGGAACTACAAAGCTTGTTTGAAAAGCAGCACAGATGCCGTTTGCATTGTGCCAATTCATCCGCTCTTTGATCACAAAGTAGCAGGCCTGGCCATATCGATGCCTGCCGAAAGGGCAGATTGTTGCCATGGCGGCTTCAAGTCCCATTGTAAGAAGCAGAACACTCAATATTCCCATTGTTTTGTTTGATCATATGGAAACAAAAATCCTGTAGGTTTTACATTGTAATTTCTGCTGTGGTTTGAAATACACGTACAGTAGCTTGTTTGGTGCTTGATCCTCCGGCAGTGCTGCCACTCGTCACTAAATTACTTTCAGTGGTGGAGGCTGACACTGGTTTTTTTGTTTTTTTTTGTCAAAGAAAATGCAATTTGTGGTATCATTGATTACAAAATGCATGTAGCTTACTGTTTGTTATATACAGTAAATTGAAAGAGGTAAATAACTTTATACCCTACTGATTACCTCGGCAGGAACTTCATAAATTGCTTTACTACACAATTCCTATGATTGGAAGTACGCATGTACCGGTACATAATGAGTGCTTAGGTACATGTAAGTGGGCAATTTACTGTTATTTCTCTTGTACTTTTTGAAGGTCAATGCATATGCCTGTATGCATGTATGTATAATATCCATGTGTAGTTAGCCAGCTGAAACTACACGTAGGCACTAACCAATGGTTTTAATAGTTCCCTCTGTGTGTGTGATTACAAGCACGGATGCACTGACTTAATAACAGCACATGCACTCAATGTATACACTTTTTCATTCTGTCCAGTTCCTGTAATCTACTGAAATACAGGTTCTTGTATTGGAGACTCAGCATTTTCAAAATCTATAGACTATTAAAGAGAACCTAACAGAAATGATGAAGACTGACCACCTCATCGCTCTGTCATTTGTCTCATGAGATTAATTGATCATATTGATAGTTCAAATTTGGCTGGGCAGAGTCAAGATATTCTCATGACAACCGTTGGGCTCCTTGTCACAGAATATTTTTAAAACATTTTGGATTTCTTTTGGCTTAATGAAAATTGTTTGCAAGACACCAAGAGAGGTAATCATTGGGAATGTGACATCATTTTTTATTCTTGAAGAATGAAAAATTTACATTATTGCTGCCTGACTGTGCTTGTTAGACACAAGTACATGTAGGCCTACCAGTGTGCATCTAAAACTACACAATTTTAGACAAATCTTTAAAATACGATTTGAAAACTTGAACAAATGATATTGTGCTTTTGAATGTAGGCAAAAATTGTATTTCACAACCAATTGTACAAAATGGGGATTTGGGGTTCCTATGAATTAAATTTGTCAACCTGAACCCTTTTTCTTTTAAAGGTTTCGGGGAAAGATTCCTTCTGGTTGATTTTTGTAGACAACTGAACTTGAGAAAATTGACTTGTTCAGACGTGGGGTTGCCTTTAACCATTAAATAACAACTGCAGGTTTTTTTCTTTTCCACAATCACAGAGTGTCCATAGTGCCCTCTTGTGATTCAAAGAATTATCTCTGTACATTTGCAAACAATCACCCTCTCTGCTGAATTGTCGCATGGAGCAATTGCAGTGGTCGCCGTGACTGAGTGCATCATTATGCTTTTACTTCTTCTACTACATTGTGATAGAGAAAATGTATGCCTTGTGCTTCTTTAACTCTGGCATGTTGGAGTGTCTTTGGGGTCTTTTGATCTTGCAATGCCGATCTCCATTTGGACAAACAGAGCCTTAGCCCTGTCTGCAATGGCTTTTATAGCCTAGAGGAATGCACGCTGCATGCACACTGCTGTATCAGTGGACTGATTGGCTACACATTAAAAGAATAAGCCAATAATCATAACCTTTCTTGGTAGCTTGTGCGTTTTCAGTTTACCAGCGTGTGCGACGTACACGCTAATTCACACCGTCCACAGCATGCATACTACCGGTACATATACACTACAGTTGGACAAAGCAAAAGATCTCTTATCTCTAAAGATCTCTAGAAGACAATCAGTGTGAATCCTCAAGACATTCTCATTTAAAGGCGGAATCCTAACTCTCTTAACCAAAAGGCTCTAATTACTGCTAAGTGCAAAGGCGGTCTCCACCACAATATGTAGATCACAAGTTTGGAGATGGAATTCTGAGCAACTGCGCTTTTTGATTTACGCCTCTGTGTTAATGGCACCATTTAATTTAAATTCAATTTCTTTAGCTTTAAATGGGAAATATTTGGTGCACAGATAATTCCTTCCGACTTGAAATGTTTTGTAAACATTGCCATATATTCGACTCTCAGTCGTCACTCTAATAAGTTCCATCTACATGTGTATCAGGGCCCAGAAGCATACATATTGCACAATATGCAATTCAGGGAGCCTTAATATTGTTTTCAGTGTTTTGAATCTGATATGATGCATGTGTTAAAATAAAATCCAGATAATATCTTTGTAACTTGTAACATACTAACCACATACAGTTGATTTTGTAGAGTACAATATAACTTCTTACTTAAATAATGCAGTACGGAAAAATGAAGACATTATCATGTAAAATGATCTGTGTTGGGCGCAATTTGGTATGAAGACATTTTTTTCCATTACACACAAAGTTGAAACAATAAGAAATTTCATGCCATATATACAGAAAAATCAAATGTTGGTAACAGCTATCTGACTACTTGTTAGCTTAGAAATACTGAGTACAGCACTTTGCAACCGAAAGTTTACCTACTAATAGGAATGGAAAAAATTCTTTTCATGCTTATTTTCTTCCCAGGGAATTCACTTTCTTTCCATAAAATGTAAAACCTGTTTCCAAAAATAGGAAAACAATTTCACACCTTTTCAACACAAGTGAGAAAACATTTTCATACCTTTCCACACAAGTGCAAAAACTTTAACACATTTTCATTTGAGAAGGAAAACAGTTTTACACCTTGTCACATAAGTGGGAAAATATTTCCATGCCTTGTGAAATACAGATATTTATGTGAATACACATTCTTTTCACCAAATTTCCTGTTGTTATTCACAGTGTTAACTTTGATTTTAGATGTGCTGTACAGTAGTACAGCATTACAGTACCAACTCGACAGCAAATGAGCACAAAAGTTGAAATATGGTGCCAGTTCCAGAACATGTTAAAGCATGGACCATTTACCCAGAGATATGCAACCGCGAGCGGCCCCAGTGCAAACACATGTGCGACCTTGGTTCCATGCGTGTTACGGATTGTTATTACCCCGGTAGGCACTCTTGACTTTTCTCAAGAAAACTCGCAACCACATGACACGTGTTGCAGCATGCAGCATGTACAGTGCAGCCGTAGTTATGCCGAGACGATGCGCCGACGCGATGCTTAAATCTATTTGTTTTGATGAATAAATCTTCTTCATTTATCAGTTTCAGGGAGAAATGAAGATTTAAGGAGGCAAAATTCCCCAAGTTTGTGGTACACTTTTCTCAGAATGTATAGGATGAAATATCTTGAGCAGCATATTTTTAGAAAGGGTGTACCCTGACTTAAAATATTACAAGAAAACAAAGTGGTAGACAGGAATATATGTTTTATTATTAGAGAAAGTGTTACAAAATCCAATTTAATTTCTGCTTTGATATTGTTCCTGCCGTAACATGCACTGAACCAGCTCTGAGCTCAAGTTACACATCCCTGGGTAAATGGTCCTTGGTTAAAGCAAGTGCATGTTCTTACTGTGGAAATTTCTTGTTTTCTTCCAGTTACGAAGTCTAACACATGAAAGTGACATTCCATTTTAGTCTTTGAAACTCAGGTCTGCAGTTGAGTCTTTTTGGGTGAACATGTTAGGCTTGTCTTCAAGCCAGTTTTGGTACATATTGGTTTCGTCATCTTTAAGAGGGCAATGCCACCAAACACCCTCCTGATGGATGTCATTGCACTGAATCCAGGCTCCATCTTCAGAACCATCAGGCTCAAACTCCCGCAGGAGTAGCTCCCACACAAAAGCCTGTTCTTCTGCTGAGTTGGGAACTGTAAGGCATGCATTAAACATAGAAAAAAATTGCCTGGCATTTTGGCAGTCTCATTTTTCTTTGATAACAAAGTAGCAGGCCTTGTCATATCGATGCCAACCAACAGGGCAAAAAGTCGCCACACTCACTTCAAATCCAGCTAGCAGAAGTAGAATGCCTAACACTGCCATTTGTCTTTGACCTTTTTTGTAAATAATACTTTCAGTTAATGCTGCTAGAATTTCTTATTACGATTTCAGCAATTTGAATAAAGACACATGTAGTGACAACTGGTAACCAACAGCATTTAAGGGCAGAGATGTAAAGGCTGTGTTAAATATCTCCATGGGCTGTACACAATAAATGACCTCATAGATACTCTCTAATATCACATGAATTGTTTCCCTGACAACTCTGCTTCTCTAAGTGTCAATTGTATAAAAATGACAATGGGGCCATTTTTTCTGCTAATGCAGTGTTCTCCAACATGTAGGAAATACTTGACACCCCGGCAAGCTTTCTGCGGCACCCGCCATGCCTAAACATCGCTGCCAAGCTTAAAAACCATGCCGCCATGTTTATATTTTTTGGTTTTACGGTATACATTCACAACAGAAATAATCTAGAAACAACAACCACCACTTTACTTTCGATCCCAACCTCGAGACTCCCCGACAATTTTGGCCTACCGGTACCAGTTGTCAAGTTTGCAACACGAGGTTACCTCGTGCTAGAATCAACATACATTTGAACATCGCCCCACGCGACATCGACAACCAATATTAGTCTGGTCCCGTCTATTTTATTGTATCATCGTATTCGTGTGATCGCCTGGTAACTGGATGCCCACTCGTTCCGTGCAATGTCTGTACGTGCAGGCTATCCATGTACGTGTGTATTACGTTCGTTGAGTGCATACATGTCCGTGGTCTATTTTTGGTGTACATTTTGCCCGCGTCATGGCAAAATGTTTACAATAACTAACATGACATTTCAGCTCCCCTGATCCTTTTTAAAGTAGGTTTTGTTTTCATCAATACTTGGAAGTGAATAAAATTGAGGGATAGATGTGTATGAATACCTTAACAAACAAGAAACACTTTCTTTTAAAAGAAGTGAAAGATGAATTAGATTCTTTTACAACCCAGATCCCTTGGATGACATGTCATTCTAAGTCATCAGTTGAAAATAAATGAAATTGTGGAATGAGGGTCTACACATACTCATTGGTACTGATGTTTTAATTGAAGTTCTTTTTAGTGATTCTGTGCATAAATAAATTGAAGTCTTTCTAAAATCTTAAAACTTTTGCTCCAAAAAAGCTTAGGGAATTGGCCAAGAATTGCCTTAGAATGCACCACTGAGCATGTAGAATCAAAATTTTGTCGGGGCCCTTAAGCGGGCCCCGGACCCCACGCCATAAGAGCTTGTGCTACGCTCCCACATTGGTCCCAAGCCCAGCACCAATCTTCATTTTTCAAAGTTGGAGAACACTGCTAATATGCTAACCTGGTCATTGTGAATTGGTGATGCTTCCAGGCTATGACCTGTCGTACAGCCCTTTCCTTTGCTATGATGTCAGTAGTTGAGGAGTTGAAGATGAGACAGGTGATATTGCTGAATGGGAAAGATGACTGGTGAGGGTCTTGGTCTCCACAACAAGGGACAGTTCCTTAGTGCACAGCCACTACAGAATGGTCAAACAGTCCCAGTTTTGAGATATATTATTTGGATGCATGCATATAAAGTAGCCAGTGAAAGTTTTTCTCAGAACTCCCACAGTTTTTTGTAGCAGAATTTGGCATAATTCTTCAAACCTCTGTCCGTGGTGTCACTAAAATGTCCTCCTGGATGCATATTTTGATTCTCAAAAATAAAGTTTGTGAGATAATTTCAGCCAGTCAGACATAGTAAAAATGAGGATAATTGCACAGTAAGCAACAGGATGGTAGGAACATACATGTATCTTTGCATGGGCATCTGTTCCTCTGTGAAATGTCATTAAAGTTGCCTGGCTCAGTTTACAGATCGACACTGTAGCAGTTCTCGACTTGCTTCACATCTTGAGCGGCTGCATTCTGGAGAGTAATGTTATTCAGCTGGCACACCATCCTGCCCTGGCCTTGGTCCAGCAGATTGAAGGAGTTGCATTTGGGATGGGAGAGGCAGGCCTTGCCACAAGACACCATCCCCTGAGCCTGTATTTCCATCATAACATGACCAGTGAGGCACTGTGAGACGATGTGACCATCTGAGCCAATCTGAAGGCAGAACAGCGGGTGATAGTTGATGACGGGGAGCTCACAGGTTGCATATCTTGAAAGAGTACAAAGCTGATTATCCCACTTGCCATCATTCCAATCACCAACCAATGCACAATCAGCTCCCGGGCACCTATTATCAGGCTTTGTTTCATCCCAATTCTGGTAGGCATTTGTTCCATCACCTCTCAGAGGGCAGTGCTGCCACACACCCTCCTGTTGGATGTCATCACAACCAATCCAAGCTCCATTCACTGGGCCATTGGGATAAAACTCCCAGAGGAGTAGTCCCCACAGAAAAGCCTGTTCTTCTGATGAGTTAGGAACTACAAGGCTTGCTTGAAAAGCAGCACAGATGCCTCTTGCATCGTGCCAATTCATCTGCTCTTTGATCACAAAGTAGCACGCCTGGCCATATCGATGCCAATCAGAGGGGCAGATAGCGGCTGCATCGGCTCCAATTCCTATCATAAGAAGTAAAAAATCCAATATGCCTACTTCCATGATTGTTGTATGATGGGCTTGTACTTCAACTTAGCCTCTGTTGTCTGATAGTTTCAGTGGGATAATTTCAGTGTGATTGAGCATTTGGTGAGCAATGATGCATTCAGAAGTAAATCCAAATGTGAAAAATCTGTACATGTAGGAGTATGTGTATGCATGCTCTTTTTAAGTGGCTATAGCTCGTGTAATCTAATTGGCTGCAAACCTCAGTGAACTTACATTAGATGTGACACGGTCTCCTAAGTCACAGCCCTGGTCCAGTCAAATACGTTATATGTGTACATGTACAAATAGCTCTCCAATATTATAATCAGGTGAACCACTGAAATTTGTTGCAATTGTCTCTCAAGGTTAGGGCCTGCACACTGACATCAAGCCTCATGATGAGATGGCTGGGCTTTCATTAAATGTTTTCTTTTTTATCATGGTGGGTGGGGGTTGGAAATGGACATGTATGTGGCAAAATCACAGTTCTGTTGCTAAGACAAGTGAATCTATTGAATCTATTTGCCAAATCATTTCTGCCCCCTTTCCACTTCTGGTTCAGACTTTCTGAATCATGAAAAATGTTCTGATTGATTGGTTAAGCAGAAAAGCATTCATGAACGTGGTGATATGACAGTCAGTTGATTGCACCATTGCTGAAACAATCCTGTTTTTCTATTCAACTGCAAATGTACTTTTGTTTGTTACTTCTATTGGACTAAATAGTGGACATTTCATGATAATAAAACTTGGCAGTAGAAGGGTCATGTATGCACCAACAAATTGGCAGAAGCTATTAATTAACCTATGTTTGTGTTAACCTACTTTGGAGTGTTCACCATCGGTTTTTCTCAGAACCACACACTCATATAAGAGATATTTTCTTCTGCATGGTGCAACCGCAAGCCTAACCTATTTAGTACTTCCACCATGCACAGCTTCTAGTCTTATTCAACCTATGTTTATTTCCAGCGTTCTTTCCATTGTCATTGGCAATGTACATGTTTATGTGTGCATTCATGGGGGTAGGCAGTAAAACAAACAAATTCCTGTGTATTTTGAAGTCTGTGCTCACATAAATCCACAGAAATATATACCAGTAGACCAAGTGTTGAACTTGAATTTGGCTGCTGCACAAGGCCTTCCACGAGGCACATATCACTCTATAGCAGAGTCTTAGAGTGTTATAATAGATGAAGTTGAGAAGTAAATATCCCACAGACACTGTAGAGATGACTTTGAAGAGCGAGTGTTGGTGTTTTGGACCTGATTTTAAAATATGGCCAATAGGCCTGTTACCTTGTCTATTTTGAAAATGTTATTGTTTTATGGCTGTAAGTCATTTATGTGAGCTATAAGTAGTTCATTGGTACATCTCCAGCTTATTGTATGTATGAAACACATTATCAGTAAAGAGATTAAACCTTTGTGTGGTTTCCTTGACAACGTTTGTGCACGCATGAGAACACACAGAGCCTGATGATGATATTGCCTGAAAGCTCTTAGGTGATAATTGAAGAGGAATGCATCGCAAATGAAGCAAGAAATTTGTAATGAAGAACCCATTAATACCTGTTGCATTAACATGCATGATATGTAGTCTTCCCTTGATTCCAGACAATTATATATGTAAAACCCAGAAATCTTCAGCTTTGAAGGTTGCTAACATAAAGCTATGGTAGGCAGAGAGAGTGCAATTTTAAAAAACGTTTAATGCAGAAATGGTTCACACTCAACTGAATATCAGTAAATATGTCCCTGTGTAACTAAGATTTCAAAAATTTTCATCAAGCACTTTATCTTTGTGTGGATGAATGTTGTACTGGTAAATTTTTACGTATGCAATTTCTTAGAGTCATGTAATTTCTGTTTCATACTGTTGCATTTTGGATTTTGCAGCTCTGCTGCAAGGCTTGCAAATATCTGGCAGGTGTGCTTTTGGCTCATTTTGTTTTTTGAACCCGCAGAAGCAACCATGAAAGGTGAAATATTCAATAATAAGCCTTTTGCAAGTTAAATTTGAATAAAACCTGGTACACTGAGTTCCTTTGAATTCACGTGAACATCATAATTTGAATTCCCCAGACTAAAGACACTGTTGCTATACCTTGTGATTTGGGGCAAGCTTTTCCTTAGTAAGAGACGCCTTGCGACAATACACTGTTCTCAATGGAAAGAACGGCACAAAGGAACCAGTCCATTCCAGAGATGGTGGTTGCTATGCAAAAGCTTGCCCCGAATCACAAGGTATAACAACAATGTCTTTAGTCTGGGGAATTCAAATTGTGATGATCACGTGAATTTATAGAACTCGGTGTACCAGATTTTATTCAAATTTAACTCTCAAATGGCTTATTGATGACCTGGGTGGGATTCGATCCAAGTTAATTGAGGTGGAAGGATAGGAAAGTACCACAGTGCCAACCTCATGAACTCCAACCGTGAATACAAGTTTCCCCGTACATTTTAGTCAGCAGTTTAGGTAGATATGTTATTTATCCCACTTAACTGACAACACTATTCTTTCATTACAGACACAATGAGGATTATCTATGGAATGATGAAGACTGTAACACCAAGAAGAGTTTCATCTGTCAATATGGTTAGATTTCATCGACTAAGAAATATTTGTTTTTCTGTCATTCAAAGCAAGTGCCTTTCAACGTTTTCCCAGATTCTTAAAAAGGGCAAACTGGATTGAAGGAAGCAGGGGCAGATCCAAGGGGGCATGGGAGGGGCATGCCCCTCATTTTTCAACCTCCCCCCCCCAAAAAAAAATTAAATAAATAAATAAAAGAGAATAAAGAGAGGGAAGAGGAAGAAAGAAAGAGGGAGGGACCAAACCAGCCCCATAAATGTGACAAAGGCATAAAAAAGAACTGTTCTGCTTCCGATTACCTAACCAACCTCCCTAATTTTATGGCCACAACCCTACATTTTTTAGTTACACCCCCCCCTTTTTAGAGAACCCTGGATCTGCCCCTCGCAGGATCTCAAACTTCTGTACTTGTTATCAGTAAAATATTTTGGAGAATGAATATCGTTGGTAGGATCCGTGCATGTTTTTTCTCGTTCATCTGTACCTTTTGAGTCACAAAGTCAAAACAAGGTTTAACTGCAATAATTTTGAACAAATTTGTTCAAAACCTTTACTTTTATTATTTCAAACACCCCGTAAATAATGCTATGGCATGTTCATGTCATGAGTAGTTCTATATCTCCTTATATGGAAATTGGCACACATTGAATGAATACTGTGAGTTGGCACTCAGCCAGTTGGTGCTGTATCAACCATTTAAACCCAGACATGAGGCGGGCTTCGACCAATAGGAATGGTTAGAATGTCTTAGGTATTCATGAATACATAAGACAGATTGAAGGGTAGCAGCAGGTGGCAGTGTACATGTTTTTAAGTCAGCGTTAACTTGAGAGGTTGCTGAAGTGTTGGAATACTTTTTACATAGCTCTGATATTAATGAGGTCATACTTGTTTCATTTATTGCATACTCCCAATTTGTATGAACGGAATGTCCAAGACCTTTTCCTTTTTAATTTTTAGTTATTTCAAGTTTTGATATTCAGCCCACTGTAGTAGGGTGCACCACCCAGCACATGTCACATGTAGTTTAATTTGCACAAGTCAAAGTCAACTAAATGGTGGGGACTGCCAGATTAATTTATCCAATTTTAACCCCCTTCAGTTTCACAAGGACCATCCTAGATCATGAAAGTGTAGGAAATAAATGGCACAATCTTTATGCCTAAGACGTTGGTGAAGTAAGGTGGGTTGCTGGCCGCTTTTATTCTACCTTTTTGTGATGCTTAAGCTGTTCTTTAGTAAATGAATCAATGTTGGCTTTTCTCCAGAGTGATTAAATCTGCTGAGATGTTGGATGAGATATCATGGAAATGTTTCCCGATTGGCTGAATATTTAATTTGATTTTTTGTTTTTAACTTGATCTTTAAATCTCAGACAAGAAGCCCAAGAGAGACCAAGCTTTGGAGCAGAACCTTGAAGCAGAAGTCACCCCCACCTTCAACTTCTACTCCACCCGGCTCTCCTGGGAGGAGGCCTTTGACGCCTGCAAGGTGGCCAAGGGCACCCTGGCTCGTATCCATAATGCCGAGAGGCAACGTTTCCTGGAGGAATTTTTCAGGAACAACAAAAACATTGATGGTTGGTAGTGGCATTTTTAATAACTAAAAAATTTTGGTTTGACCAGCAGACGGTGATGTAATGGTGCACTATCATTTCCCTTGTCAACTGAAGTCCTGTTCATATGTGTGCTTTGTTGGCCCATAAATATTGCAACAATAGCATGCTGGACAGCCATGTAGAACTCTTACTTCCTCAGTCGAAAGTTGAGAGTTTTTATCTTGAAATACCCAGGTTAAACTCTATGCTGAAGCATGTGTCTTGCTTAGGGCTGCTGCTGCAAATGGGGTTAAGGGGTGTGACCGTTTGCCATTTTGGGGGCAAAAAAATCATGTAAATGTACATGTACCTGTCTGGAGGGGGACCTCTACCTGTGAAAGATGTCAGGTGATGTCCAGAACCCCTTTCCAGCCTGAACAGTGACCCCTGGCATCAGATGATGCCCAGCCCCTCACCTTCCTGCCCACACTTTTGAACACCCAGCTTTCATTGAACTTCAGAAAAATGATTCTGATCACTAGCGTGCCACTAGTCATTGTGTTCAGTTGGCCATTTCAAGGTCACCTCCCCCCACACACACACAAGTTCATCTGGCAGCAACTACAGTGCTCAATTCAGCTCAATAAATCTGTTGGCGGTCTTTCAGCAAATATATGGATGGCATGTTCAGAGGAATTTAAACCAAATACAGCAACTGTTCATTTCCAATCATCTGAAATGTCACATCTGAAGGTAAAGGTTGGCAAAAGTTCATCTCTTTTAACTTGACCACTTTTCGAGAAAATTTGAACTAGTCACCAGCAAGTTAAACCATCTTTGCGCTAACTGTTTCCCCATGTTTGTTGTCTTATCAGTTCATTCATTGACAGAGTCAACACAACTTGTCTCTGTTTGTTCCATGTCACTGTTTGTTGTAAGATTTCAAGGTACATGTAAGTTACTTTTGGCCATTGTTCATTGAACCTCATCACAGGCCAGTTCTGGATAGATGCCTCGTACCGCGTCAAGCACAAGAAGATCGATAATTGGGTCTACTCCAACGGGAAACGGCTGGACTACAACAACGGTCTTCCAGAGGAGATGAATCAGAAGAGGAAGCAGTGTGCTCATTTTGGGTAGGTCTTAGTCCAAGTCTTAACAAAATGCGGAAGGTTTTTGGATATGCTTACGTGGGCAAAATTCATTTTTACTTTAATAAGGATAAATGTAAACCAAGGAGGTATTCAGGTGAATGAGAACTTGATGACTCAAGAGATCATGTAGTGCGATTACTTTCGGTTTAGAATCCCATTCGATGGCTTTATTAAATGTGGGATTCTATTTCTGCAATATGGTGGAAATGGAAGCATAGAGAATTACCCTGTTACCTTATAAGGAAATTATCTGTATGAGATGAATGTGCATTCTTGCACACAAACCAATTTTTGTTTCTTAAAGATGATGGCTGATATAATGAGCTTTTTTACAGTAGGGCAGAAGGATGATCAGCACCAAACCACATATGTGGGAAAAGATATCCGCTCCGAGCGGAACAAAAGAGGGCGTGTTTTTTGGTACTCACCGCATAGGTGCGCCAGTATATGCACGTTTGACACGGAGCACGCTGAGTACACGTAACTAATTTACTCTGGCATGTATGGTCTTTGTGTACGCGCAGAATGCGTGCAAGAACCCGCTTGGAACCACCTGTCTTTCTTACGCCGATTAGGGGTGCACTTCAGCTTTGGGCGGATTATGGCCATCTGTGGATTTAGCTCAAACCTGCTTAATCTCCAAATGCTTTTGAGGGCATGAAAACAAGATTGTCCAACTCGTTAACTTCCATACTTGCATCCCCCTCCTTTTTTCAATTTTAAAATGGAGTTTTGCAAAACCAACCATACCGACTACCCCGTTAGTTTAAAGAAATGTTAAGATTTTCCAATAAGACACTTTGTTGATGTTGGTTAACATGAGCGTTTTTTTAAGAATTTGAAAGTTTTAGAACATTGTCCAGTGAACTAAACGTCCATCATCATTTTTGTGTGCAGCACTGAGACAGAACCTAAGTTCCAGTGGACCTCTGGAGGTTGTCACCAGAAGAAGGGTTTCATCTGTGAGATATGTGAGTAGAAATCCTCCAAACAAAGACCTGCATCCTACTAGATTCACTTCAGAAAGCTGGCACAATTTTAAAAGTAGGTTCTAAAATCAGCCAATAAAATGGAGTTGCTTCCAAAATGCCACTTGTCCGACATTATTCTGTCATACCAAATGTCATTGCATAAGTTGTATACATGAGCCATTTTCTTCTTTCTCAAAAAAGTTCTTTTCTCACTGTAATTTCTCTTTTAGTCCCCGACAAAGGGACTCCTCGTAGTGGTCAACCAGTACGCGATGCGTCCTCGTACCAAGTCACCTTGGACATAAGGAAGACCTCGAAAACGTGGATGAAGGCTAAGCGGTCATGTGAAAGATGGGGTGGCCATCTCCTGAGAATCCCAGATGCAGAGTTTCAGGGGCTGGTCGTAGGCACCCTGGATAGCATGAAAACAGACCCAGGTGGGAATATTTCACTGTTTTGTTGGCCTATGATGGCCTGGAAATAGCTACCTGTGGACAGTCAAAGTTTCTTTGCTGTACAGAGGTTTGGTTTCTGAATGTTTCCAATAAAATCACGCTGCTAGAAAATAAAGAAATGAAGCATGTTTTTTGAAACATTTGCTCCTATTGGAAAGCCCAGTGAAAGGGCTGTATTTGACCAGTCAAGCCCCTTTATTTGACACATCAGGCCTTCATGTTGGAGTTAAAGAAAGCCTTCCCTGCACAAAAGAGTTTCCTCCACATTGTAATGAGCCAGATTGCTATTTCAAAAACCCTTTTGGGAACATAGCATGCATGTGAGTCAGCGTATGGCTGTGCTGATTGGACAGACTATCGTGCGCAACGTGTAGCTGTTCCTGAATAGCCTCATACCGAGCATGCGCTGTTGGAATAATGAACTGGCTCATTGTAAACTGCTTGGTAATTATAACATACAATTGTGATCAATGTCTGTGATCTTTAATATGCTAATTGTCAGTCAGTGTCATTTGAGTTTTCTAAAAAAGATTACAACTTAATGAAATTGCTAAGTCTTTACAGTTTAGTCTCTCTATCAATTAAGCCCTCTGGAGGTATTTCTTCTAGAAATTAGAAAAACATATAACTGGTCCAGTTGAAAATCCTTGTCTTGATAATTTCCAGCATCTTCACTTTGCCCGTTGTTGCCATTTGTACTAACAATTCTAATTTTATCTAACATACACGTAATTTCCTTCTTTCTTATTGATCATCTGTAATTGACATCCTTTAATTTAATTTTTTTTTTTTTTGCTTGCCACGCCCTTTTGTAATCCAACCTGTCGATATGTCCCTCTTATCCAACTTGTATCTCTTCCAACTGCCTGACACCCCCCTTTGCATCAGTAGAAGATACTTTCTGGATTGATGCTCACTTTGACAAGAAAAAGATGCAGTACATAAACTCCAACGGTCAGAAGGTGGACCATTCCAATTTTGCCGAAGGGTTCCCCAAAGGTGGTTGTGCTTACTTGAGAAAGAGGTAGACTATATGCCCCTCGCCTTAATGTTTGAAATAAAAGTGGAATAGGCTTGTGTGGTAATGCAGGCTATGTAGCCAGGGGGCAGAGTGATGGCTGGTAGCCCAAAATCAGCCCTCAGTCCTGTGATTATGTATTCACTAGATTTTCGGGAAACGGTTTCATGAAACTTGCATGAATGCACAACATGCATAGGTTTGGCGCAACAAAGTTGTGGCATAGCAGTGCAATGTACTATAACAGACTATTTTGCACAAAATAAATGCTTACCTGCATATGTAGAAGATTTTGATTTGTAAATATTTCAGCGGAGGATAGTCGCAGCTTTGATGACAGCTGTTTTTAAAAGATTTTATTACCATTGGTACAAAAGCGTGTTGTTACCCTTAAAAACAACCCTATGAATTTTTCCATGTTGTAAAGTTAAGCAAGGAAGTGCATTGACTCTAAAAATTATACATTTATGAATTTTTCGTTCTCAGTGTGCATTGTCAAAAGTGATTACCTCAGCCAATGCAAAGAAGCAAACCTACTCAGTTACCATATTTGACTTTCTGGTCACTTGAGCTTACTGTTGGAGTATAAAAATAACTACTTGAAAAGTTCATCAATCGTGAATCGTGACTTTCTTTTTTGATCGAGTTCAGTTACTGTGTATTAACATTTGTAATGTCTTTAGTGGTGGGGAGTGGAAATGGGAGGATGGTGACTGTGATGCAGACAGACCATTCATCTGTGCTCGTGCAACGCAGAACGGTAAACCGACTAAACCAGGTAGGTGTACAAAATGAATGCCACCGTAAAGTTTAATGCAGAATACTTCCCATTCAGACCAAAAATGCTGACTTGGAATAAACATCATATCCTGTAGTTTTCTTTTGTCATTTTGAATACTTTTGCTGCTGTGGCCCTCGTTTTTTAAGGATATACTGCAATATGGACACTGTAGCTCTTTTTTACTTATATAATTTGTAATATCTAAACAGTGGATTTAGTGGTGACTCGTAATAATTTGTTTGAAAATAAGTTTGCCCTGCATCATCATGCAGTAACTGACAAAGACCTTTGGGGGATTTTATTTTGATGAGTGCTTGCTGTTGGGTCATTCTATAAATTAGGGGTCCGATATTTTCGTATCCTTATCACATCTGACATGATTTTGTACATAGTTCAGCACACATTTTCTCATTTCCAAGAGTGATTAATTAATGCAAATTACATGCCAAACAAATAGTAACTGTTTGAAATCAATTCTGGTGATATTGCCATGTCAAATAACAAAGACCTGAAGGAACAAGGACACAAAAATGTCACACTTATGTAACCTAAATTTGTGGAAAGACTAAATTCTAGAATGTTTGGTTGCATGCTTCTATAAACAGTTGCACAAATTTTAATTACATGTACATGTATATTGATACACTTGTATGCATGCTATTCACCAGAATAGCATAGTTGTTGAGACTGGCCTTGGTCTTGAACATGCTGGCCTTGGTCTTGGACCCGTGGTCTTGGTCTCGGACTGTTGATCTCGGTCTTGGTCTCGCACTGTCTTGACTACAACACTGCTACTAATAAATGCCCATATGTTAGGTGATAACCTTGGTATTTAAATTTGGCTGCACGTCACTAGCTAAGAAATGTACAGGCATAGTCTACATGTAAGAATTGACCTGTTTGGGAAAAACCCTGTGTAAAACAAAGGCCTTTTCTGTAACCACATTGCAAACACAGGCTTTTAAATTGAACACATGAATGGTTTTTGTCAAAGTGAAATACAGCCTTGCTTATGACATTAAAAAGATTGTTAAGAGGCTTCCAAAACTTGGAAATTCGCCCGACTAAAGGTAAAAATTTGATTTCCTTCAATAGACAAAGTATTCCAGATATTCTCAAGCATCACAAGAGAGAGGCATTAGTCAGTTGTTTGTCCATTCACAGTTTATATTTTCGGATTTGTTTCCCACTAGCCAAGCCATCCCGCGACAAAATCCAGACCCAGCTGCCCACGACTTACCTGCAGTACTTCACTGGCTACATGTACACCTGGCAGGAGGCAGCAGAGTACTGCGCTCAGGAGGGGGATGGCACGGGCCACCTGCTGAGGATAGTTGACCAGAACATGTTCAACGAGGTGGCCAAGGCTGTCAAGGGCTCTGCAGGTGAGCGCTAAGCGGAGCAGCATGGCTGCATTTCAAAATGTGATCATCGTGGGTGCTCAGCAAATGTGAGACAGTTCATGCCTGTATTAACCAAGATTTGGCTGGAGTGATTGATGGTGTTCGTGTGAGAACAAGCAGGTGTTTTCTTGTGCAGCTGGGATGACGGACTGGATCTGACATATTTACTGCTTTTGCATACTTTGTTGCAGACGCTACACGTAGGGCTGTCACACCCACTGGGGTGGGGTGCATGGTGTTGGCAGCAATGGTGTCTCATGTCTACCCAACTTTTAATGTTTGTCACCAATTAGGAAGTGTCTATACAGAGAGTTAATGATCCTCTTTGTTAAAAAGGGTGAATTTGAAAAGCAAAATGATTCCAAGTGATTGGAATGATTAGGAAAATGTTTAGGAGATAATGTAAAAAACTCAACTTTTGCTTAAAAATGGAAATTCAAAAGACTTTAAAGCATCCGTGCACAGCATTATGGAGCAGTTCGTGATAGTGGGACATTGTATACAAGGCATACAATTTGTACAATTCTGTATTGTAACTGATTTGGTGTTCTTCCCTTTTCATCCCAAAAGCCAATTTCTGGTTGGACGCAAATGACCTCATGTTGGAAGGCAAGTTTGTCTACTCAGACGACTCCCCGTTGGGTTACACCAACTGGTTTGAGATTGAGGGTGTGGAGAAGCAGCCAGATGGTGGCAAGGCAGAAAACTGTGTGTACATGAGGTAAGGCCATGAAGTCAGTGTTATTGCCACAGCTTGACTGCTGAACGTAAAAGCAGCGGAAGGTCCCTTGGTCACTTCAGTCGTAAACATTTGCAGAGTAAAAAAACCACCTCCCTCGCAGCACGCATATTAGTGACCCTGACGATACACCCTGACGATACACATTCTACTCAAGATCGCTTGTTTTGTTCTTGTAGTTACTCAGATGATTACATGTGGCACGATGGCAACTGCAATGACCGAATGAGTTTCATCTGTGCCTTCTGTGAGTATTTAAAATGCTCAAATTGAACCAAAGCACCAGTGCTGAACTGTATTTGTAGGGTAGGCCTTCCCCGTGGCAAGGGGACAATTTCTTTTTGTCAGGAAAGTCTTGACTAAGTTTCGGGACCAAATCTGTCCCCCTGATATTTTTGGTCTCCACAACATCTATATGTCAGCACATCTGTAGACCCCCAAAGTATGGAACAAGTATGTGTACTTTCAGTGTACAGTGCTACACAAGTATTATGCACAATATGTTGTAGACAGAAATTGCAAACATTCACACTTTTTCATTAGTCTTTGAATGCCTTTGATTTATTTGGCACACTTATTAATAGGCAAGTTTAAAAGTTAAGCTTAAAGTCATCTTGCCTTTTGGCAAAAAGAATCCTCGTTATTTAGTCGCATTTATTTTTTTATAATCTTTCTCTTCCTATGCAAATAAACTGATGTGTCGGATTTGTTCTCTTCAAAATGTGCATCAAACAGCCAAGAAGCCTGTGAAGAAGGCTCCGCCACGAATCCCAGAAGGTGCAGTGATTGATGACATAAAGCCTGTCATAATTGCTGAACCCTCCACAACACCAGAACCAGGTAAGGCAACATCACCAGCCAATGGATGCCCAGTTTGATGTTTCAGCTTGGTATGGGTTATGGAAAAATACAATAGGTAGACTTGACCGGTGCTGAGACAGCCCTTGACAGCTGGGAAAGACCACATAAAGCCATGCTGAATTTAAGGGCACTACCTCGTCATTCCCTGTGCAGATAAGTTTTTATGCCTCCCAGGTGCAGACATTTTGAATTCATGTGCGTGTTGTCAGGCCAAGACGAAATAGATGGAATGAATTCCTAATGATGTACCCTAACATGAAACGTGTATATTCTACGCAAATTTAACATACTGGCACATCATGTTTTCTATCATTATGACAAATCAAAAAGGCTAAGAAAGATTCAGTAGCAGCGCTATGTACACACGTTTGTGTTGTGTACAGTTCACGTTGGAGAAACTGTGCAGTTCTCTTGCTTTAATGCCACACCAAGGGATTGCATGTTAATTCTGAATTCAGTGGTTATTACTGTAGGTTCACTGCATGCGAGTTTCCATTGGGCATTCCAACCTTTAAAGTAGCAAAATCTAGAGAACGACCTGAACTGTTTGCTGAGCATTTTTTTTCTTCTGCCCTGAACGCTGTACATCGTTGGGTTTTGATGCTGAATGTGTTGGGCATTGGAAGCAGTCCCTTTAAGCATGTTAAGAGCAAAAACAATGCAAATGTTTTGAATTGTTCCCCTCTGGGATTTGCACCAGAGAAATTCCAAAATATATGCCGGCTTTTGTTTTTATTAGAACTCCAGCACAAAAGTGAGACAGGTGTCCTTCAAATTTCTCTTTAAATGCCTCATTGACTTTGACGTAATGGGTTAACAAATTGACTCTCACTCTTAGACATCAGTGCCATCTTGACCTATGAGGGATCCTCGGCTGAACCCAACCACGGCCCAGACTCCAAGATGGGCTGGATTGCAGCCTTGTCCGACCGCAACCAGTACGTGATCTTCGACTTCCACCAGTTTGTCCGGGTGGATGTGCTGGTCCTGTGCGGGGTCAACGTCCCCGGCTACATGGCCTGGATCACCCAGTTCCGGCTGCTGTACAAGCGATCGGCGGATGCCGAGTGGAGGCCGTACATACAGTTTGATGGGACCAGTGTATGTATTTGGATTCCTGTTGATTATGTGTTTCTTTGTTACCATACTCATGATGTACCCTTTACTCTCAGCCTCAACACTCATGAACCAAGGTGCGCGAGCATCAGGCCTTTTGGGGATGTTGGCCCCAAAGTACATGTAGGTTGGTGCTAGATAATGAATTACCCATTCTTGGTCGCATCCAGTAATGTTTTATGAATTGAACTTATAAATTTATTGCAGTTTTCAAATGCCGAGGTCGTGTCCTTTTTATTTGTGTTTTGATTCACAAAAAAATTGTGATAGGGTTAAATTTGAATGGAAAATATGCAAATCTTCCCAGTCTTGCTTTTCATCATCTTATCAATGCACATGCTGCATGGACTGAGTTGTTGCATTTTCATGTAACCATTAAAAATATAGCAAACCTGTACCAAAGTTAACATTTGAGATTGTAATTCTGACATTTCTTTCAACTGCCATTTCCATGCCATTCCTATTGCTATAATGGAAGCTTCCATTTGTAACCCTCAAACCCCAATCATCCATATCTTTCTCAACTTTCCCCTTTCAAGTTTCAAAACACAGAGCCTGTTTATTAGTTTTATTTTGTTTTTCATTCTAGGAATTTGACAACGTTATCACAAATGCAGACGAGTGCGCAACATTCCTCTTTGATCCACCCATCCTGGGGTCCCTTGTTAAGTTCCAGCCAATCAGGTGGAAGAATGCCATCGCCGGTCGCTTTACGTTTAACGGGAGGCCCTCTGCTGGTGGGTTGTTAACAAATGTTGATTAAGGAGAAAATAGTTGAAAATAGAATTGACTGCAGCTGCCTGTCATTGATGTGTGTTCATTTGTACGTCGCAGTTCATCACTAATGATGGAAGTTTAATAGTAACATTAATTGAAAATTTATAATGCACCGCTTCCATAAAAATGATCAAAGGCACAGTGGTACAACTTAAGGAGATATATAGATAAAAATTGAACAGGATAAGAATTTAAGTTATGTATTGTTTGCATTAGGGTTGTAAATTCTAATGTAAATTCTATTATTTGTGTTTGCCCTTTATCAGTGTGATCTATTATCAAGCAGTATCAGCCTGAGCTGGATCAAGAGAGGGCTTTTTTTTACATAGAAACAATACTTCTTTGGTGGGAACTCACTGCAAATGAGCACAGCTCAGGTGCATTTTTTGCGGGACCCACCCAGCACGTGCAGCCAATTTCTGTTTGATTGTGCAGTCTTTGCGTCTGGCTTGCACATGTGTATGAACCTCAGTGAAAATTTTTCTCTGGCCTGTCTTGTCTTTGCCAACGAGTGTGCGCTTCAAGTCAGGGCGGATATGCTCTGAACTTAATGCTTGTTAGAAAAAATATGCAGGCTTGCCTGGATAGAACTTAAACCCAAGGCCTCCTCTTTAACAGTGTAGATGCCTAGATTTTCTCAAAGTTGTAGGGGTTGATAAATCATGGAAGGGATTTAGGGCCAATTCAAACTGCAGGCAAAAGTGAAACAAATTTTGATGCTAAGAAAATTTGCTGCGAAATTTGCTTGAGTTGAAATGTGTTTGCAAATTGATTGTGCAAATATTTGATGTGATGTCAAACAATAAAACTATCTATGTATGCTGAACCAATTTAATAAAAAAAATTGGCTCATGAATATGCAGCGAAGGTTATAATTTGTAGTCACAAATCTCATGGCAATTTGCTGGAATGCCTGTAATGTACTTGGAATGTCTGTAATTGTCTTTGTTGTCAATTTGATTGCATTGTTATATGAAGCAAAAGTATAGCATTTCAAGTTTATTTTTTTCGGATATGAAAATTCAACAGCACCAAGAGACATTTCCGATAAGGTTGACTACAAGATGTCTTCGGCCGTCCGCAACTTCAGGCCAGGCAGCAAGTACGGATGGATAGCCAGGAAGTCCAACAACAGGCAGTACCTGATTGCTGACTTCCGGCAGACAGTGGAGCTCTATGGCATGGATGTTGAGAAGGTCATCGTAGGCAATCGGGAAGGGTGGATCCAGGCCCTGAAGGTTGAGTACAGCGATGACGGGGACTCGTGGCTGCCTTACGAGCTGGATCCGGCCAACAAGAATGGGGTATCAAACATTGCTTCTCCCCTAACGCTCGGTCAAAGAATTTGTCAGCTCAGACTTGGTTCTAGTTCTGAGGAGCTAATGAATTAAGAACAATGAGCCGTGCTAATTTGCTGGGAGTTACGAAGCATTTGAAAAGTAGGCATCCAAATATTCCATGAAAACAGGGCATCCACTTTGCTGCAACCTTACATTTTCATATACAAAATTGGGCATCTGAAATAACCTACAGGTTATCCAAAATCCTGCTCGGATTTCTGGCTGAATTCATGCCTATGTGTCCATCGTAGACCAGCAAGTTTCAGCATTAGCTACATGTAGTTCCTCTCCTTTTGTTACTTTCTGTCTGTAGATCGTTATTAAATTGAAAAGCATTTTAGAAAGTCTTTTTCAGTTGGATTTCTTTCGTGTTTTTTGAGTACGTGCCTGCATTCATTGTACATGAATGTCATTCAAGGCCTGCCCATGTCAACACTGGATGTCCTTTGGGAAGGTCCCAAATTGCAACCCTTCAATTTGATTGATTTGTTAAACTTTCACAAACTGACACTCTACAAATTTATCCATAATTTCAGTGTTTTTTTTTCAGTGGGACAGCATGTCTAAATTTCAGCCAGTCGGGAAAGATTTTGTCACAAAGATCAGCGTAATATCCCTGGCCGTATTTAGTTGTTTTTCTTCTGTTTTTGTCAGGTTATTGAAGTTCCCTATGATGACTCCAATGCAGCGAGGATAAGACACATTGTACCCATTGTGGCTCGTTATATCAAGATCATTCCTGTCAAGTGGCATAAGGCTATTGCTGGGAAAATCAGGTTCATTGGTTACAGATACAAAGGTGAGATGGTCAGAAAAATGACCAGATGCTGTTGGCTTTATACACGGCAATTATTTTACAAAATTAAGTTGACAAAATTTTGTTCAGATATTCCACTTTAATTAGTAAAGAATGCAAGACCAATTCTGGCAATCATACCAAATTTTACATATCTAAAATTCACATTCAAAATGAGTGCATATAAGAACATCCAAAACAAATTTATTAATATCTTGAAAAATTCAAGGTTTTGGAAAGTTGGTTTATACATGTATTTGCTCTTGAAAGGTCTTGGTGGTTTATGTTTTTAAGGTTTACACTGGGAGAACTGCTTTTTCTGACATCTTTCGTCTATTATTTTTAACTGAGTGCAAACTGTTGGCACATGGTGAACTAGACATTGGTTGACATGTAGTAACTTGCCTCCCATTCCTTGCAGATCTGAAGTTCCGAAAAGTAGGCGCCAAGAGTAAAGGCCAGATTGCATCAGATCAGGGGGCCCAACCTACAGTTCCAAGTAAAGTGGAAGAGGAGGAGACTGGTAAAGAAGTTTAATCATTTTTTGTATGAGTCCAATAGTAATGATTCACTTTCCAGTAGTGTGCCACCAAGTGTTTTCTGCAAAGAGGCGGTTTTACTTCACAATCGACATTTTTTATAAGTTTATATTACCCAGTAGTCAGTCATCAGTTTTTATTGTTTATGAGCAGAACTAAAAATCACTGCATATGGAAGCCTTGTAAAACTTATAGTTCAAATCACGCATTCAGAATACGTTTACAAAATCTGCTGAGTCTTCTTCCTTGGCAAGTGGATGCCAGACTTTTCTTATGATGTGCCAGCAAAGTCTGACTATCTGAAATGCACGTGTATATATAACACTGGTGACTGTCATTTGTGGGTGTTAGAGTCCATAAAATGGGAGTCCGAATTTTATCTGGAACTGGAAAGGTGGTCAAAACCAGTTGGTACTTTAATTGTCTGTTAAGAACCATCCACAGGATGGGCCCTTAACCAATAGGAAGGGTACGCTATGTGAGGTTTTTGTAAAAAATGCGGATTGAAAAGGGAAGCAATTGTAATGTCAACCCCCATCACATTGGAAATCAATGTAAAAGGGTGCTAAAAGGTACCAATCTTACGACTTGTAATAATCTTATTTTGCTGGTCCTATATTTCCAGGCCTTGCCTATGACCTGGACAAATTCATCGACTCTTACTACGCCAGTGCCTCAGCCAAGGGCTTTGAGCCAGGCAGCGCCAGGGGCTGGCTGTCTCCGCTGGCCTCGGCTGGCCAGTTTCTGATGGTGGCCTTCCAGGACATGGTGAGGATCCGTCGCCTCAAGGTTGGGGGGATCCAGCTGGAGAACTACTCAGCCTGGATCAAGAAATTCCGGATCTTGTACAAGACCAAGGAGGACGAGGACTGGACAGTGTACATGTATGACGACAACAAGGATGTAAGTGTTCGCAAGAGTGATAATACTTAGATGGGAAACTTGAATCAGGATGATGGAAATCTGAATATCATTGGCTTTGCCTGCCACCAGTGTCATTTATAAGTACATTGAGCTCCGTACATTTTGAGCTTAGAGCTATTCATCTTGTCCCCTTGAAATCCACCAGAAAAAGTTCTCTGAATGGTTGATAGAGGACAGCACCCAGCTTTACATGGGGCTTTTTGATCTTGAACATTGCGTTTGTATTCTTTCAGTTTAACCCAAAAGACATTTATTTCCATAACTTGTGACAATAAACATTTGAATGTGTGTTGTAGTGACAAGATATTAAACCAAGGGTAAAGAACAAACAGGAGTGCGGAGGTCACTTCCTGAAGAGCTAATGCTTGTTGTGGAGGACCTTTGATGAATCAAAGCTTGCAGTTTGCTATGGGTTTTCAGCACAGTGGAGGATATTAGAGGAATTAGAATGGTTCCCAGCAGTAATACTTGGAAGAAAAATCTTCCAGATTAATGCAGTTTTTCCCACACAGGCCACAGGGTCAAGGTTAATGTAATTGAATAATGTTTTGATTTGTTGCTTTTTTTTTAGAGCTGTGTTTTGTATGAAAGTTCTTGGACTTCACAATAAAATTTGAATTGAATTTCTCTAAATCTTCCCCCTTTACCAATTAGGAATTCGAGGCACCGAAAGATGCCAGCCCTGACCAGACAATGACCTTTGACCTCCCCAGTCCAATTAGGGCCAAGTATGTCAAGTTCCAGCCCACGGAATGGGAGAAGGCCATTGGAGCCAAGCTTTCCTTCTTTGGAAGCCGACTGCTAGGTGTGTGTTCCCAACATAAAAATAGACCATTAGTTCATAAAGATTCTCAAACGTCTATCAACCTTAAAAATTGCCTTGGGGCATGTGGCCTTGTGGTTGCTGTCTATACCTCTGGATCACAAGGTTTGGGTTTAAATTCTGTATTGGGTAGATACGTTGCAACCTTTGGGGAGCCTCTTCACCCTCACTTGGCACTGGGCCAACTGTAGTTAACGGTAATGGTCACTTGAACTTGTCCAGAGATTCTTCGCTTATGTTTAGCTGTTGAATATTCACAAGATGTGCAGTGACATAAAGCCGAAGCTATGAGTTGTAATGCCTGTCTGTTTTTCCTGTCGATCCATCAGGGAGGAGAGGCAATCCCCGTGAGCGGAGGACTATGAGGCTGTACTACTCCTTCCACAAGGACAAGGTGTCCTGGTCCGGGGCTCAGGCGGCCTGCCAGACCAACGGTGGCTCCCTGGCTCGTGTCTTTGCTCCCAAAGTGCAGGAGGCTCTTGAGGATCTCATTGAAGACATTAAAATTGAAGGTGACTTTTTTCCAAGGGGCTATTTGCACTGACGGAGTTGGGCAGCTTTTGGTGTCAAGGGGGCAAATTCAAAAGCAAATGCGGCTTCGAGCTCATTCAACATGATGTTGGGGGAGAAAAATGATCAAAAGTCTTGCTTACAGTCCTGACATCCTTGCTTTTATTTTGGGGTGTTGTTTTCCAAGGGTTTTGGTGCTTATATTTGATAAACAAACTAACGCATACCAATTATTTTCTTTCCTACTCATCTATAGCAAAAAAAAAGTCCCCCCTCGTCTCCCCGCTAGATATACCACTGTATTGTAGACTGGTTTTACATTGCCATTTAGACTTTTGAGCTTTTTTTCAAAGATCAGTATACATGCAAGTTAGCCTGTTAGAATCACTAATTATGCATGGTCTTTTATGCCAACTTGCTCTGTGCTGTTCTCTGAAGAGAACTGTACTTTAAGCCGGGCAATGCTGAGCCATTACTGCTGTGAACTTTCCTAGTTGAATGATTGTTGATTGTGAGATCCAGTAGGTGAGCATACTTTATGCTCATGCACCAGGAGCACCGTCATACAAGATATGGAGTTTGGCTTACCATAAACAGTGTAGTAGAGCAGTATCTGCCTGTTCACCTGGAAGGGTAAAAATACTTAGTTTTAGCAATAGGCAGACTCTCTCAAGGCATTTGAAAATTATTCAAGCTTAAAACCAGACTGGCCATGTATCTGTTGGAGCTCCTTTTTCCTTTTCCTTTTTGTTACTTCCAGGTGATTGGTGGATTGATGCCTCCGATGCCAACACAGAGGACCAGTGGGCTACCTCTGTCGGACCTCTTCCGTATGCTGACTGGCTGAGTGGAAAGCAGCCAGCTAGCGTTGATGGCAAGGACTGTGGATTTCTCATGTAAATCATGATTTCATAGGTCATGTCAAGCCTGGGTTGAACCCTAATGTGATTGTTTGGTCCCTTTTTTGCTTCTCTCCTCAAATTTCTCATTGTAACTTGACATTTTGAGATCATCAAACAACTTTTGGATATTTTTTTACTGTCTTCTTTTCATAAATGTATGAAAACACCACCTCCGCCCAAACTAGCCATGTGTTTATGTTTTTTAAGCAAAGAAGCATTTAAGGAAGGCTGGATTTTTTTTGCAATAGAATAAACCAAAAGAATTGCAATTGAAATCTTTTAAAGAAGTATTCATATTGTTACATGTATGTTACGGGAGTTGAAAATAGTTGTTGGAATACACTTTAGAGAGTTACTGTGTTGACAATTCGATGCTGTCTGCAGGTATGCCGAAAACTACAAGTGGGACCATGCCAACTGTGAAGAAATCAAGCATTACATTTGCCAATACGGTAAGGAAACTCTCGCTCAATTCCAAACATACCCACTATCCTGATCGGCTCCTCGTTCATGGACCAATATACGCTGGATAATACATGAACAAGGACGGATTTCCTGTGTCGTAATATGGGGGGATTTTGAAACATGTTAATGCTTGCAAATTCCTCATGTAGTTCTGGGTGGCGTGTCCTTGCACTAAAAGTGATTCCCCTTGAGTTTATACACACAGGCTCTGACCAGTCCACAGAGAATGAGTGTGTGTGGAATCCCCAGGTAAGTGGCTGTGGGTAATGGCCAGTCATTGTAGTGAATAGGAAATGTGACATGAATCTTGAACTAAGAAGTGACTTCAGCCGTTAGCCACTGGCTTCCATCGGTAGAGTACACATGGATTTTTCCATTTTTTCAACCATAACTTTTTCCACGGGCAAGGATACTTCTTTTTCACTAGTTTCCAGGGGCTGTTTTTCCTGGCAGAGAAAGCAAACCAAAGCAGTCTTAGTTGTAAGTTAACCTTTCAGAGAAAGCCTGGTTTGTATGGCCTACAGAGATGGAAATGTTTTGCATTTTCTCACCGACAATGTACTTCTTGTGTGTAATAACCAATATGTATTATGTCCCCGTTTAATAGCCTTGAAAGAGATAAATTGACATGTACTTACAGTGTGGTTTCTTAGTTCAGTAGTGTATTTAGACTATTGAAGGTGACATTTCTGAGGGGGATTGTATTTCAAGGGGGCATTGAAAGTAAATCATCTGTAGCTTATATTTAGGTTTGGTACACTTGAAAAATCTTAAGGGGGCACTAGGGGGGCATGGATTTCTGTTAGGGGAATGGGAGACGTGCCCTTGTAGTGAGTATATGTCGTCTGTTTTCACATCACCTCAAGATAGGTGCTCATTTGCCTTCAAAGTTAGGTACATGTATATCCTCAATTTTCTTTCAATTTTTTTCAACAGATTTATTCTCAAATCATGTAAAGCAATACTTTGGGAGCCACATGTACTTCATTGCGGATTTGCCAATTTCAAATCTTCCCACTCATATGCTCTTAAATTTCCTTCTTTACCCACGCAGAAAATGAACCAAAAAAGAAGCCAGCCCAGGCCCAACTCCGCCGAGTGCGGCTCTTCAGCTATCGTTTCTTCAGCCGTCGGCTGGCCTGGGTGGAGGCACAGGCAGCCTGCCGGGAGCGTGGGGCTAGCCTGGTGCAGATCCCGGACCTGGTTGTGCAGAACTTCCTGGGGAAGTCCATGAAGACCAGAGGTATGCTGGCAGATGCAGGCTATATGTATTGCTGGACAATGTTATTCAAGGAATGAAAGTGGATATTTCAGTGGTAGCTGTGTTTTTTCATCTAAACTTTTATCTTGGTGTAGCAAAAAGCTAGCTATGATTGCTATTTCAGCAATAGTTCCGGTGAGGGAAATAATAGGGTTCACGCAACAGCTTTTTGGGCCTTCCACCGTCTTCCTTCGTTTTATTGCCATCATCCACCACCAATATCCCGCGTTCTTTCTTTTCACCCGCCCAAAGTCTCACAATCTTTTTCCTCGTCCACTTCACTGCGTGCAGTGACCCTGTGACCCCTGGCAGCCTGCCCAAATACATGTACACGGTTATTTTTAGACCTTACCCGGACAGGTGAACGCCGCCGTATGCACATATGTATATTTATACACACACAAAAAGCAATTCCCCTACATTGGAGACTGATTTCTGTTGATCAGTTTGGAAAAAATTATCTCAAAATTTTGTAAACACTTAGTTTGTTGCTTTGTGTGTCAGGATTTAGTTTATGATATAAACATTTTCTGTGTATTTGAAATATCAATCTGGGTCATAAATTATATATTCGCCTGCATTAAACATTCATATCATTTGCATGATAAAGGGTGCAATCAATTAGTTGGCAATTTGGTATAGTTTGCAAAAAAATAGATATGCTAACCCACTAGTACTTGTTCAAAATCTGATGAATTCATAAACCTGTAGAGTGTTTGGGCAGTAGAAGAACAGGCTTAGTTTTTGGGGACACTATACCATATAATAATTTAATATAACTCTGTGGACAGTATCGGGACTTGAATGTGCTGTTAAAAATTCTGAAATATCAGGGCTTGACTTATATTTCAAAATGTCGGCTTTTTGCAGGCAGAACTTGGCTGGACCTCACCTACAATGTCGCCTTTCCTGATACCGATGCCTGGCTGTGTAGCTCTGGATTACCCATGACATACAACAATGGCCTCCCCCTGGAAATAGAAGGGCAATCTTGTGCTATCACCAGGTGGGCTCCACGTATACGTAGCCACTCTGAAGGAACATTTCGGAATGCTGTGAAACTTGGAAAGCAATGAAAAGAATGAAATTTTTCAGCATGTTTAAACTTTGAATGGGATAAGGAGTGACCCCCAAGGAGCATTATATGATTATGATGAAAAAATGGACACACTCAATTTTTACATGCGTTGCGGTCCAGTTGCTTCCAATGGGAGACTTTGAGACGCATGGTGGCGGCAGACACAATGGTCCTTTTTGGTTGATGTGGGCATGTGCGTGCAGTTCTAGGCAGTTCTTTGCTTTATGTAGGATGGAAGCTTTGATGCCTCCACAGATTGTTGTAGTAGTTTAATCTTATGAGACTTCATCCTTCATTTCTGTTTACAGGAAACAGGATTTGGCGTGGATACCTGAAGAATGTGAGGCAAAACATCCGTATATCTGCCAGCAACAACGTGAGTAATAGCCTGTACACTGATAGCTTTCCAAATTGCTCTCATGCTGTGCTCTTCGGTGAGGCATAAGCCTATCCACAAAACACTGTCAGTGTCCTGTTTTTATCACTTGTGTGAGTTCCTCTGTCGCTTTCACAGTCTTATGTATTCTAAAGTTTTGTGGATGATAGTAAACTTTTTTTGGGATGCACACCGTGCATCTCTTGCCCTGGGATCATTTAAACCAGTATTTTGAATGCCAGTCATAAACTTTCTCAATTATTCTAGGGTCTGAGATGTGCCGCTAATTAAATTATGTTTATTTTTAATAGCGAAAGAAGATAAAAGCATGTCTCTGTCAGGTGTGAAACAAGCAGAATCTCAGGATCAAGAGTTGTGCAATAATTATACACGTTGTTAAAACTGTGAACAATTCCCTGATTTTTGTCTCCCAGAAATAAATCCAGGAGTCTGTTTTTGTAATAAACCTTTTCGATGAAGAATCAGCTCACAGAGTACGGTATTCAAGTGCTCATCATGGCTTTTCCCTGGTTCCTGTGCAGCTAGGGAAAAGGATGGTTTTGTCCTTGAGCTGGGCAATTTGCCAAGATCTGATGCCTTTTGCTCAGTATTGTAGTGAGCACCAGCCATAACGATTGGTTTTTCACAATGTGATAAAAGTGGCTGACCAAGTGGGCCTGGTTGTGCACTGGACATGCCTGCTCCCAGGATATTCAACAGACAAAAAAAGTGGATGGATTATGATAATTCTAAACCAGTTTGATTATTTTTTGCTAAAACGTTTGAGACTTGAACATTGTTTGTTCTTCATTATGAACCCAGCAACCTCCCTGGAGGAAACTCTTGGCATCCAGAGGGACGACACACAGCAGGCACCCGAGGAAGTCACTGGCATCAAAAAGCAGAGCTTCCAGATCGTCCGGATGGTGGGTGGCTACACTTGGAGAGATGCCAAGAAGTACTGCAATGACTTAGGTGCCCACCTGCTCCGCATCCAGAGCCAGGAAGAACAGAACCTGGTAGTCAACTTCCTGGAGACCAACAAATTACAAGGTGAGAGATCATCTCGAAAGTTCGTTTAATTCTTACTTTAAAAGAAAGCTTCATTGAGCGAACCTTGCATGGCATTGTAAACTGCCAACATTGCAGGACTCTGCTGTGTACATATAGCAAATATGTGTGAACTGTCTAAAATTAGTGAACCTTGCCTACTTGTCCAAAACCAAATCGTGCAAGTCACTTTCTTTGTCACTAAATATGATGCAGTGATCATAAAAAAATTCCTTCTGCTCTTCAATTCTTATCAGTCTCATGCACTAGATGACCCACCATATCTTCAAAGCACTGCACGAGTGTAGCTGGTTGGGTATAACCTAGCTGACAGTGTCAATCCATGAGCCAGAAAAGATCCTCCTAGGGGGGTTAAATACTACACTGTAATGTGAACCACCCATTATTAACCACTTCGTGCCGGGGGCATTTATGAATGTTAATGATGGTAGGAGGGGATAATTTTCATTTTTTTCTGCTTTCAAAAATTCTTTAAAATTCATATCTTCATTTACTGGACACTTACACCCACACGAAGGATTGTCTGGTTTCTACTCTAATCTGACAGACAAAATCTATTGACGCTGGAGTATTTCAGCCAGGTCTGCTGCCTTGTAAAAAGAGCCCAGATTGTGCGGTGTTACGTAATTTTCTTTTGTTCAAGAACCTGGCACAGTTCGCTGCTGACCTCTTTTCAATAGGGGCCACCTTAGCGTGCAGCAGTGCTATGTGGCTCCTCACTGTGGTGGTGGAGCGATTTTGTCCCCGGTATAATCCACTCGCGCTAAATGCCACAAACCGTGGCATACTGTTTCAAAACAAGGCTGGATTATCTCCACTATTGAGAGTGAAAAAATGTTGGTAATTCTCAGCAGCCTGGTCTTTTGTTCCGAGTATGCTCTTTTGTTACAAGGCCCAGTTCCCTTTGTCCTATTTCGGAGACCCCAGCCACGCGTATAAAGAATACGTGTCCAGTACCGGCAACCCCGGCGGCAAGTGGTTAATGTTTGTTTATTTTACGAGGAAGTGATTGAAAGGAAGTGCCTTTGTTTTGTGTAGCAAGACCAGTTTGAGCAAGGTCCAATAGAGCCTACTTTTGAAAGCTCAACTTTGTGAGGCCTCTTACCAGTAGACCAATTGATAAAATAAGAATCTTACATATTGGCAATATATCAATAAATCACTTGGTAATTAACAAGTCTTCCTCTTAGCTTTCTTTAACTCCAAGCTGATGGTAATTCAGAGCTGTGTTGAAACTTACAGTGGTTCTTGTAAACTATTGTCCCAGATGAATTCTGGCTTGATGCTCAAGTCCCGAGCACTGGAGGGAAATGCATGAAGAGCAATGGGCAGGAAGTGACTTTCAACAAGTTCCAGGTGCAAGTTGGCCGCTCCAGACGCAGACGAGGATGCGTTTATTTCTCGTAAGTCTTGCGTAATATTTCTCACAAATCACGACAATAGAGGGGGGATGTGGCCCATTGGATAGGGTTTGTAACTGCAGATCAAGAGGTTACGTATTATGTCCTTGGGTAAATCACTTTACAGCTACTTGCCTCTACCCACCCAGGAATATACATGAGAACCAGTGAGGGAAGAGATAGTAATGGTATTTTTTCCTGTGTTCATTTGAAATGGCTCCATTGTAGCATCATGCTCCCTGGGGAAGTGAGGTGGCGTCAGGAATGTTTCCAGGCCTAGTGTGCAGGGTAACTCTGCGATACTCTGACGAATGTTGTACTGGTGGCTGTGTGCATACTCTGTAAATACTCAGTATGATGGACCTGAAGCTGGACCAAGAGAGGGCGCTATTTTCATAGCAATGGAAGCGTCTTTTGTTGGAACTGAAGTTGGGTGTTCACAAACGACTAGGAAATGCACATGTCATGGTCACATCACTACCAAAAAATTGAACACACCAGATCAGCACGGCTGTTTTCAACGAATGAGTGGGAGCTTCTGCTAGAGGCAGATTGTCATTATTAATTGGCATACTAATCTTGAAATTCTGATTACTGCTTGTCTGTTCGGTTGGATTCTTTTATTTGCTTTTTGGAGACATCACCTTGTTGACTTTCCCTAGTGTAATGGATCAATGGCTCTGCTTCTCTTCTGAAATGTTATTTTGATAAAAAAATGGAAATTTCACAAAACTGCTTTGAAATTTGTTCTGTAATTGTAATTTAGTCTTGTGAATTTTGTGCTTTACAGAAATGAGGACGGTTGGAGTTGGAAATTCAGCAGTTGCAGTGACAAGAAGAATTTCATTTGCCAAGCAGGTAAAGTCCAAACAACAAGCAGTATTCTGTTGTCAAAAGATTAATGTGCTCCATTGCAGTGCTTGTCCCTTTGTGAAGACGTTGGGAAAGTGTTCACGGCAATATTGGCCCAGTTGCGAGGTCATGAAATTTTGATGATAAATGAGACTTCGGTTACACGTCATCATTGGAAGAAGAAGGCCAGCCTGATGTGATGTTACTAGTTTAAAACAGTTTAGAAGAACACAGACGTTTAACCAACCAGAGTTGCACCTTTTCTGTATATATTTAAGGACTTCTATCTGTAGTGTTATCAACTGCTAAATCTCTCAATTATCTTTGCTTTGGTATCAACTACGAACTCTCTTCATTTACAACTTTTTACCATTGAAGAGGTTCAACTGCACGTTTTCCTTGAATGCAAATACAAAGAAAGTGTGTGCCTTTGCTGAATCTACACTTCCTGCGCATGGTCTCTCACGTATGGGCAGTTCGCATTGACATCCAGTGCATGAAACATTGGATGTTCACGTTGGATCCAAATGTGAAACCTGCAACTATTTTGGAAGGTTTAAAATAATGCAATGAACATTTGCTGATATGAAAAGGACGTTTTTGCAATATAGAGCAAAAGTTATGCAACTGTGATTTTGTCATTCCTAGTTTAAACAAAGTGTACACCATTGGTTTTTTGTTGTAATTTCACAAGATTAGCTGATTATGGTGTGTGAGATTCACTGCAACTTACATTCCACTGAGTTGTTTCATGTTTGGTCCACTGCTTTTTGAAAAATTGAGAAGAACAGCATGGCATTTTCAATGCTTGAATCGAAGATCTTGTAACTTTATCTTGCGTAAAATCTATGAATTACAAGGCATTCATAGTAACGAAGTGAACTCTTATACGATGGTCAGCTGACCATTATGAAAAAAAGAGAACAAAATTTCTATTTTTCGAAAACTACAGCATTCGGGGCAGACAAATTTTTACAGACTGACTGATGCAGTTTTTTACTTTCTTTCAAGTAAGATATTTCAGGATTATACGGTAGTCTGATTTGGGGGATTTTACCAGTGGTGTACACTACCTTTATATGATGACCGATTAAGCCTCTTTTTGTAGATGTGATTTATCATTTGTCCTTTTATTTGAGTGTTCATCGGAAAATGTGCATTTGTGTGCAGGATGTGCATCTAATCTTTCAAACAGGCATTCCACGCCCGCACACCCATGCGTAATCAAATTTGTCACATTTGTGTTTGCATTTGCGTAGTATGTGCAACTAAACCTCCCTATTGCTTCAAGTTAAATTGTTTATCCTCTGTGCTTACGTATAATCTGTGAACTGTCATTGCTTCTGTCCTTGTTTGATCTGCTTGTCTTCCAAATTGTGATATGAAACATTGTAGAAAGCGATCAGCGTTTGACAGAGCCACAGAAGCCCCAGCGAGATGTCATCCAGACACCCCAGCTCAAGCCGGTTAGCGTCTACTACCAGTTCTACCGCGGCGGCCCGTACGCCTCCAAGTGGATGGAGGCCCAGCAGTTCTGCCGAAAGGCTGCTAGGGGTGGGGGCTCCGGCCACCTGGCCAGGATCAAGGATCAGGAGACCATGGACTACCTCATCAAGATGCTGAGCCGAGGGAAACGAGCCAGGAGTCTCGTCGGTGAGATGTGGGGAGAGGGAGACGGGTTGCATGTTTTTTGTCAATGCCTCTGGTTAGGTTGTATTTAGAATGTAATTGTAAACTTTGGCCTTTGAGAAATATTTTCCAACGACTGTAACTTTAAGGGGGGAAGAGTCTCATTGATGAGATGGGGGGAGGGATTGTAAGCCTTTTGGCTATTCCTCTGTTGAGTTGGATTGAGAATGTACTGGTACACTTTGCATCTGTCAGAGACTGTCATTGTGGCTTTGAGAAAACATTTTGTTGTTTGATTGCAATATCAAAGTGCGAATTTTTGTGAAAGCTAGTGTATATGCAATAAATCTCAACCCTAAAGGAAATTGCTTGTGTTCTTTGGACTATCTCACTGCACGGGGGAAGTGGAGATCGTGCCACATGAGATCTTGGCTGTCCCACGCCCACTCGTTTTTAAACTTGGCATGTTTATAGAGGCATTCATTTGGCGTTGAAATTATGATGGTTAATTCAACTAAAACCAAACTCCAAACATTGTCTGTAAAAAGACCGTCTGAACATTTTGCACAAATGATTAAAACATTCCTTTCAATTGTTTTCAACAGTCTTTTATTTGTGTATTCTCTCATAACTGCTAAACGTTTCTTTTGTTCTTTCTACATACATGTATATGAACAGGCAATTTCTGGTTTGATGCAAGTGATGTCCAAACTGAAGGCAAGTACGTGGACAGCAGTGGCGAAGCTCTTGACTACACCAACTGGTTTTCGGTTGGTAATCAGCAGGAGCCCAATGGTGGCACAGCCGAAAATTGTGCATTCATAAGGTAGGAAACCTTGACTTTAATCCCCTAAGTTCTATGTTAATATTGAAATTTGGTTCCCAAAAGATGCCCGATTATTAAATGACATTGATAAAGATATCTTTCTTTTTGTAGTCCCCAGGCTGTCTCTTTGAAGTTGCTTTGAAATTCTCATGAATTGGATTTTCCCATTAATCTCTTGACAGCACAGAGCATGCCTTCAAATGGCATGACGAGGCCTGTGATCACACTCTGGATGGTTTCATTTGCCAATTCAGTAAGTTGTCCCTAAGTAGTCAAACTTTAATCTGTGTACAGCCAACAAATACTATCGGAATAGCCAGAGTATAAATTCTCAATAGCCGAAGCATACTCTAATTGTAAATCCTCCAACACAGACATCAGAGTGGTTGTCATTGCTATGTTCTGTCTCTTTTAGGCACCAGACCAAAAGTGAAGCCCAGCCCTCCCCAGCGTGACTTTGAGCGCATGACGGCCATCCGCGCTGACCTGTCCTTCCCCCGTGGGAAGTTCACGTGGCAGTCTGGGACGCGCTACTGCAAGAGGAAGTACCCTGCCAATGGAGGCGGCCACCTGCTGCGATTCAGGAACAAGGAAGAGGAGGCCCAGATTGTCAGCAGTCTTTTTGACCAAAACAGACTTGGTGAGCAGACCAGTGGGGTTTTGAGAAGATAAAAGTGTGACACTTTTAGACTGTCCTGCACATTGTCTCTCCTCTGTGGTGTAAATCTGTGCTGGCAAGTAGGGTGTTTTGGGATGACCACAGCCCTGACAATACTCTTAAGGGTAACCATCTTTAAGTGACCCTGTCATGAGAAACAGTTTGAAAAACAACATTGAGTGAAAAGCTACACCAGTTATTGAGCTGATAATTGGCCAAGGATGAAAAATGATTAAGTGTCATTGCTGTCCCTTGGTTCATTATTGTGTATTTATGGCTTTGGCTCTGTGCATTTCTCCACTTTCTTTACTTTCTGCAAAGTCTCAATAATGGATTATGCCACAAAATTGTTAGCAGCCGAGTGCCCGAAGCTTGTCTGCCATCTTCTAGCATCCCTGCGGAGCTGTAGAAAATGCTTTTTTTCCCCTGTAACTGACATTGTATAATCATTTTTCCAAAGATGTACTTTGCACAAGGTAGAAGTTGGTATTTCTAATAATTGTTTTTAATTTTTGGCCCTTTCTTGCAAGCTCTCAGATGACACTGAGCATACAGTGTTACAAATTTGTAAGGGTAAATAAATTTCATTATTAAAGATGATTTCTATCTGCAATTCTTTGCTGTCTGACATGCAGGAGACTTCTACCTGGACGCCAGACTCCAATCTGATGGGACATGGGCTGATTCCAATGGAGTGGTCTTGCCGTTCACCAACTGGGTGGATGGTGAGCCACCTCAAGATGATGACAACACCTGCGCCATTCTCAAGCTGTGAGTTCCTCTGCTCTAGATTCAAAGTCAGATACAAAGGAAGAAAAAAAATGCCCACCCTGTGGTGTCATTCACCATTTCACCCATGTTCCTTCAGCAGTGTCACCGACCCTCAAAGCAAGGCTGTAGACACAAGCCTAATTGTGGTGCCATCATGAGATGAGGCATGTGTGTTTTATGTATGACAGTACACCGTGCCTCATGCCAACCATTTATTACTTTTTGTAAGGGTCATTAAATATGTTTACTTACAAGATTTCGATTGTGGCACCTGAGAACTCAATGAAGAATCATTCACATGTTAAAGGTGAAGAATTCAAGTTGAAAGTAATTTATTCAACTTACAAAATTTGTCCAAAAACAAGAATTTGCAAATTTCAATGCATATGTAAAACTCACACAAAATAAACCAACAAAATCTTTACCAATGTCAGCCATATCTTGCAGCTAGTTCGGACTTGGCAACTGGTGATTTCTGAATGCAAAAACAGTACTAAGTAGCTGAAAAGAGACAGGGATCCCTTCACATCCTGTTCACTCAAAATCGGTTGGGGGAAATTAGAAACTAAATTTGCGATGGAACAAAATTTTGGCTTTACTCTGAAAGTGCAAAGTGTTGTAAAACCCTTATGCATGGTTTTGGCTAAAATCCGGAGCAGAGGCAAACTTTCTTCAAATCGACAGTTGACACTCCTTTTAACAGTGCTGATTGTTAATCTTACATTACAGGTTTACCTATCAGAAATATTTTCTATTTAAAGGAGAGGAAGTAAGCAAGCATTAAATTTGGTTTCTAACAGGAAAGAAGATGGGAGCTACTCATGGGGAGCCAATGACTGCAAGAAGCCCCTGCCTCTCATCTGCGTAAAGTGTGAGTAGAAGCAGCATCCTAGGGAACATTCTTTACCGTAGACCTGCCACAAACAGGGCTGAGTTGGGCTGGATGTACAAGCCAGACTAGTCCAGGCCAGATCGTGCTTGCCCATGCCAGGCCATCTAAGGCCATCCAACACCGTCCAACCTTGTATGGGTTTGCAGGGTGGGCACTTCCCCCTCTCTGGGAAAAAAATGTAAAGAACAAAAATTAAACAAGAAATCAGGAAAAATGGGGAAAAAGAAGAAAAGGGATGATACCAGGTTTCTTGGAAAAACCTCAGAATTTACCTCCCTTCAAACTCCATGTTCTGTCTTCTACTGTTGAGCGCTCCTCCTTTTGGAAATAGCTGTGGTTCCTTGCTAGTGATACCCTTGCCATTCAACAGTGTAAAATATTATCGGAACTTTTTGTTTGCTTGTGTATTTCAGATGTAGCAGGTCCCAAAGCTGACCTAAAGGGTAAGCGCATTCGTGTTAAGGACAAGAATAGGTCTTCCACGTCAGTCAGCAGCAAAAGTAAGAAAGCGAAATCCTCCAACAA